TCGAGTCACTGTCCGGTTGAAAATTGTATGTTACCACCGAATACGAGGACTGAAGCAGTTTTTCTGAAACCACGTGCACCATTCAAACTGGCTGCCTTCAACGTTCGCACATTTATGCAGGTCGGACAACAGATAGGGCTGGCTATGTCTTAATATTGATGTTTGTTGTCTATCCGAGACCCGTATTCAAGACTCTGGGGATGTACTACAAATTCGCTTCGAAAAGCTTGTTTTACGTGCGCTTATCCGGGGACCCTGTGGCATCTTCGTCTGGTCTTGCTGGCGTTGGTGTCGCACTAAGCGCTAGAGCTGAGGCAGCACTAGTCGATTGGATCCCCATTAACAGTCGGTTATGTGCAGTTAGATATGAAGTTCCATCAAAGTGAGAAGAAATCGGCGTGAGAAACGATGTCTTTTCGTCATCTCCTCTAGCCTCTAGGTTAGCTACCACTCCACCGAAAAGTATAGATGAGCATTGGTTGCAATTGCATGACGCCATGAAAATGGCGGGAACAGTCAGTTGTGGGTTTGCGAAACGTCCCGCTTTTAAGCACTAGGTTTCTTCTGGTTCCTTACAACTCATTGAAGCCCGTCGGTCTACTCCGGGTGACCATGAGTTTGACCATAAACGAAGGATGTTACGTACGGAAATCGGGCAAAGCTTGTGTAAGGACCGAGAATCCTGGTGGTCGAAGCGTGCTAATGAGCTGGATGCAGCAGCTGGATCTGGTAACTACCGGAAGCTCTTCCAGCTCATCCGAGCCACTGGCAGCAAGAAGTCTGGTGTGAGTGAAACAATCTGCGAGAATGATGGGATGCCAATCACTAACATCCATCGACGTCTTGGACGGTGGGCAGAATTTTTCGAAGGGCAGTTCAACTGGCCTGCTGCTCTGGCAACATCGGTCAGACTGTCCTGCCCTCCATGGCCGGTGACGACTGATCCACCAAACGAGGAGGAAGTCCGCAAGGAACTCCAACTCTTGAAGCGTTACAAATAACCTGGCCCAGATGACTTACCTCTGGCTCTTTTTAAAGATGGTGGTGACTTTTTGACCAAGGAATTGACGACGTTGTTTACAAAGGTCTGGGAACTAGAGAGTGTACCAACGTCATAGAATGAGTCGATAGTTGTCCCTATCTTTAAAAAGGGTTCACGTCGTTCCTGTAACAACTATCGGGGAATAAGTCTACTTCCGATTGCGTCCAAGCTATTGGCTTCCGTCATACTTCGTAGGTTGTTCAAAACCCGAGAAAGATTGACTCGCGAGGAGCAGGCTGGTTTTCGTTCTGGTCGAGCATGTATTGATCACATTTTCACCCTCCGCCAAATGTTAGAACACCGCCACACTTATCAAAGGCCAACAATCGTAGTGTTTCTTGACATCAGGGCTGCCTTCGATTCGTTGGACAGGGCTGTTCTCTGAGATTGTCTATTGAAGAAGGGTGTGTCTGTGAAGTTTATTAACATCCTAAAAGCCCTATATACAAACACCTCAGGCAGAGTGAAGGCATACAACCACCATCAAAATGAATCTAAAATCCTTCTTTACAAATTTTGTGTGAGACCTATCGTTGAATACTGCTCGTTCTTATTTTCCAACCTACGCCTATCTGATATACTAAATGTGGAAGGAATACAACGAGACTTCACCCGCAAAGTACTTAAGACTGACTCGGTCATTGACTACAGTTCCCGATGCCAAATCTTAGGAATAGCACCGCTTTGGGAGAGAAAGCCTAAGTCTAATTTGATTCTCTACTTCAAACTACTCAAAAACCTTACTTATTCAACATGTAAGATAACTCTTGCCCGAGATTCACATGAATACGGACTTCAAAACAAAGTATCTACCACCGAAGTTGAGAAACACAGATCAAAAACCCGGGAAAACTTCTTCCTCATCAATTATGCAATAATATGGAACAGTCTTCTCTCCGAAATACACACGGCAAATGAATTACATACGTTTGTAAAACTGCTTGATCAAGCTCTCACTTGCACTGATCTAGCACGTACGAACACATCTGCGCCCCACTCACACATCATAGGCTCTCTCCACGTCTAGACCAAAATGGCCTTATTTCTCCTACTTTGAATTAGACAGGAAACTCTCTGTACCCATCTGTACTGTTCAACTAAACTCGGTCGCTAATGGACACCCACCACCAAACTAAAAAGTCAAGGGGACAGCACTATTGACTGCCTACTACCAGTGGTCTTGCATCTATGGAGCCTATTACCTATCAGCTGGTTAGGATAACACAAAATAACATCAGCACCAAGTTAATGTGAGTTTCTTCCTGTTTATTCTTTTTTAACATTTTGCTCTTCTGTACACTATATTGACTAGCAATTAATATTATTTCTACAACTCATATACTTCTGTACTTTTCCGCCTGTTTTAATAAACAACTATTCTACATTATACCTTTCTTAATGCTTATACTCTGATTGGCAAACTATACTTCATAATATAGTCAATTTAAGCACTGCATCAATGCCTTACCTACAGTTCAGAACTCGTAATTGCCTGATGAGCTTGTAAAATTTTACTTATAGAACAGTGTTTCCCAACATGATGTGAAACACAGAGGATTGTGTGAGAGACGATATATACCCAAAAAATAAGCTTAAATGAGCCTAACACCACAAAAGGAAGGAGGGTGGAGTTACTGACCAGCAAGCATTGATGGTGAGGGCGATGACCTCAATCCACCCATGTTTGTGGGGCAGAACATTTTGTTTGTATCAGGCTCTTTATGGTTGAGAACGAGTCAGTCAATTTGTGATATAGATTGTCTTTTTACTCTCACCACTCAGAATCATGTTTCCAATTTTATGTTGGATTAGTTATTGTACTAAGACAACCTATAACATGCTAACTCGGACATTTACACTAGGACTGTGTGGCTGGCGTCGGATGGACAAAAAAAGAAAAGGAAAAAGTTGGACAATAAAAGTTATATTTATTAGTATTCTGAATACTTCACCTTCTATATGCACACTCGCTTCTAATGGACCGCTTTCCTTGTACCAACCCTGACTTCCCTTCCTTCATGTGAGCTTACTCCAACTTGTTAAACATCACAACTCATTGTTCTTTATTAGTACATTCTCTAATATGGAGCCTCTGACTTCATTTCACTCTAACAAGACATAATATGAATTTATTCTAATTCGTTATAACTCTGTCCGTTCTACCACACATTGTTATCAACGTTTGGTGTTCATATCCAAATGCCTTGCTGCTCTTCTGTTTCTTTTTTTCTTCTTCAGAATCTTGCTCTGAGAGCACAGCTATGAAACTTCTGACGTTTGAAACAAACTTGACGTACGCGTCCTCTCAAGGTCAAAGTTTACAGCAAGCGCTCCACGATTTCACTTTAAAACAACTATAAACTTAATAAGTTGGGAAACGTTTTGTGAACCAACGAATGTTGTAATTTATAGATCATGCCTGTAAAAACGGTGTGTACCTGCACATGCAGAAATATATTATTATTATTATCATTATTCATTTCGATAAGTTATGCAATACTGGTCAACATGATTGTGCGTTTCACTTAATGACTGCAAATCCTTTAATTGTTGTACTAATCTAATTGTTTTTACGTTCAGAACCCGATAATGTTTAAGGCCAAGTTGTCCTTGTTTTAACCATAGCTTTCACATAAACTCTGAGATAACCAGTATCGCATTTCTGGTTCTAGTAGTATGTCCGTAGGACAAATTAAATGCTACACCAACTCCACAAAGTTACATACCACAACACATTGTTTTTTACTGTTGTTTTCACGTATTTTACGGCTCTAATCACAAATCACTTTAGCAACAACGTCTTGTATGTGCTTTGTCTACGAATTTATCATGCCTCTTCCGTTTCACTGCAAACTGTTAATCAATTTTTAGTGTTTATATCAAAATGTCTTGCTGTTCCTTTGTTTCTCTTTCTTCAGCTTTACGCTCTCAGTGCATAGTCAAAGAACTTCCTCCGTCTAAAATTAACTCGACCTATGTGTTTTCCAGGGTTCACGCTCTCACTTTATGCCTTTTATATGCACTTTTTACCATCTACAAACTTCTTCAGTATTTGTGTTTCGTGAATACTGAGAGCGACCAGAATTCTAACACACGAACGCCGCGTCCGAACTTGATCTGCCTTTCTCATGATCGTATCGTCGACGCGATGTAATTTTTGAAACAAATTATAAAGATTGCACTCAAAATGTAGTAGTAAAATCTAGACCTACATATTAACTCCCTGGGACATGTACATAAATATACTGTCTATTATTTCTACTGATTGCATTTACTTGACAACCCTACCTGGGAAGAATCTGAAATGCAGACCAATATTGAAAATGATAGATCATCTTTGTAAAGATGGTGTGTATCCGCTATGGCAGAAAAATGTTATTACATATTGTACTTAGGAACAGTTGTTATTCAGTACTACTATGCTCTACATTGGAATAGCTGTACTACATTGCTGAACCCTCTTATTGTTACGTACAACATCCAAACACTTTTATAATGGGATATTACTGACTTGAGATATTGCTCGTTCTAATTAAGGTGACGAACTAGTCATTGTCAGTCAGTCAGCTTCAAAAAGATGATGAAATGTTCAAAAAGATTTATATATTCTTGAACACGCTGATACATGGAATTACGAAGCTGCCGTATAACCTATTGCTTTGGCCATGTAGAAGAACCAAGAGCCATATAATCACGGTTTCTGAATTCCCAAGTACTCTTGGTTTTACTTGTTATTTTAAATAGAAGATTGATAAGAACAGCACGTCAGTATCCACAAACTCAGGTTCTGTCAGCTGACTACCAAATCTTCCATTGGATTGTGAACCGGTGAAACACTGCCTTAAAACACCGTCGAAGTTTCGTTTCTACATCCATTCGTAATGTCCAAATGGTCCTAGATGGAATAGAAGAAGCTTTCGCCTAACGGGCCTCTGTATCTAGTAGCAAGGAATCGCCAATGCATTCAGGTAAGAACCTAGGTATATTATCGATAAGCGAGAAAAAAGAAACACTAAACTATAGTGAGATACTGTCCTTAGTCCTTAAGAGTAGGTCAAGCGTTTTGTTAAAAAAACTTCTGAGAAGTCTCTTGAACTAGCTCAACCGGTAGCGAATTCCAATATTTAACAACTCCCAAGTATTAGAAAGTGTTACTGCAGTCCGTTCTACTGTGATGTGTCTCTATTGCAGCCTCCCTGAAATGTCCATAAAACTGATAAGGTTTTCCTAAAATTAAGGGGATTGGGTATCATAGTGACTACAATTAGTGCAGCCCGGTGGCTAGAATATCACGCGTTGGACATAACCAAATAAGTGTAAACATACCGATACCACAATTGTTCCATACAAGCCAGTGATGAAGATATTGGATATTTGTGTTACTTCACCTTGAACGCCGAAGGTCAAGCGCTCTGGTGTGTTTTAAATTTTGTAAGTTGCAGCAGGTAAGATAAGGACAATCTTAAGTTTGAAATTATTGATTAATTGTGTCAATACGTTTAATTTGACAATTACAGTTAGTTGGAAGTTAATTGAGCTTAGAATATACACGCATTTCATCGGGGGGTTTATTTCAGTGGTAATTTCAGCCAACTGATTGAGTTACTCACTACATATCCGTGACTTTTTAACGTTAAATTTCTATTCATCCTGTCCCCGAAGTATTGTTAAGATGTTTCAGTCTTACCTCACCCTAGCCTAGCTAATCCAATGAACTGAGCATCAAGACTGCAAGAAACGCCCTAATTCTAAAATTTAAGTCTAATTACTTTACCATCTTATTCCTGTTCACTTACGCCTGTTGCCCCTTATGGAGGAACACAAGCCTACCATCAGCATTCTCTTTCTCGGGTAATCCTTACAAGTCGTTTTCAGTTGGGTGAGACTAATATATGGACGACCTTTGAGCGACGCTATAAGAGGCTTGAGAATGTCCACCTACATACTACGGCTAAATAAGGGTTATAAACCAGTGTAAGGAATCAGGGTTAATACTTACAGGTAATAGTTAAGGGTTAAGAATTAGATATAGGGTTTTGATCACGAGCTGACATTAACTATAATGCCAAAACTATTTAGCCAAATGAATAAATTGATTTTGGGCGAAAATTCTAGATTTGTTATCTCAAATCTGATTGGTTCGTCCATAAATTATAGTCTCACCGTTTCCCAATCCTATCGCGCTCCTATCAACATATTGCATTGGACTGGCCGGGAATTAAGCCCTTAAAACATCCCAGGCTCCCAACTTTGGGGAAAATGTAGTCCATTTTGGGGGAATTTTGGGGAAGCCTCTATAGTAAATGTGGGGGAAATGAGACAAAAAACCCAAAATTTCCCCAGACCTGGGGAAATCCCCTAAATTTCCCCAAACTTTGGGGAAAGCTATTTCATTTTGGGGATTTCCCCAAAATTTCCACAAAGCTGGCAGCTTGGGATCCCCCATTCAGTTTGGCGTTCATAATCATCCCAATAAGTTTAATTTCGTAGTTGTAAAGCAGCAAATTTAGTAGATGCTAAACAAAACTTTTTCCTTGCGTAACTTTCATCAACTGCTACCGGAGCTACATATCTCTACCATCTCAAATGGTTCAAATGGTTGTGGACGGAATAGAAGAAGCTTTCGCTTAACAGGCTTCCGTGTCTAGTAGCAAGGGATCACCAAATCCTCCAGGCAGGAACCTAGGTATGTTAACAGTAAAAGAGGAAAAGAAATTGGTAAATCATAGTGTGATGCTGTCCTTGGTCCTTAAGAATAGGTCAAGTTGCCTCTTGAAGGACTCCTGAGAAGTCGCTTGGACTAGCTCGGCCGGCAGCGAGTTCCAGCTTTTGACAACTCTTAAGGAGTAGAAGTTGTGTCTACATTCCGTCTTGCTATGTTGTGTTTCCAGTTTCTGGGTGTTACCCCTTAGGTTATTATTCGAACTAAGCTTAAGTAGGTGTTTAAGAGGATGTCCAGAAGTGTTAAGAATACTATAAGCCATTAATAAATCACCTCTAAGACGCCTATATTCTAGTGGGTAAAGGTCTAGTGAACGGAGGCGTTCTTCGTGAGGCTTAGATTTGAGTCCTCGAACTGATTTCGTGGCTCGCCGTTGGATACGCTCCAAAGTGACCTTGTCTTTTTGGAGTGAGGGGGGGGGAGTACTATGTTTCCGTACTCTCAGTCAGTCAGTCAGTAACAACGTAGAACTTCGTACGTACGTACATCAGTTCGAGTTGCCACACCACATTAGCACAGAGATGCAGTGGTCGATTCAAATCCCGTAGTGGTAGAGGTAGCAAGAGTATAAGCAGTAATCGGGAAGATTAGGGTTTGGAGATGTTATTTAAAGAGTATAATCCAGTGAAAGAAATTTGGAAAGAGGGAAAAAGGGACTCTAAATGGGGACGGATGAAACTATTGAAGATTGTGTGGAAAGTTCTTCCGTCAAACTGGCTAAAAATGCGCCTCAACGTTACCAGTGCAAGGTTTGCTCGGAAGGCATTTTTGTCACAGTTAGCGTAAGACTTTAAGTCATGGGGCACCAGGACTCCTAAATCTTTTTCGACTTGGGATACTACTAGAGAGGAGTTTCCTAAGTTGTAACTGTAGTTTGCGACATGTCGCAGATGGACTACTTTACACTTTGAAGTGTTAAAGGTAAGTACGTTATCGTCTGCCCAACTTTGAAGTCGCGTCAGATCCTCCTAAAGTGCCTGTGTATCGTCTTGGTTGCGTATCTCTCTCCAAAGTTTCACGTCGTCGGGAAAAAGTAATAAGTCTGACGTTACCTGTTGAGGAAGATCATTTATGTAGATCAAGAAGAGAAGAGGCCCTAGTACTGAGCCCTGGGGGACCCCACTAGGACATTCCATAGCCTGAGATAAAGTGAAATTAACCTTAACCTTAAAGTGTCGATTTTTTAGGTATGAAGTAAGCCAGTCGATTAGAGGTGGTTTGATACCTAGTCGTTTGAGATTGTTGATAAGACACAAGTGGTTAACCTTATCAAAAGCTTTTGAGAAATCAAGGTAAATGACATCAACCTTTCCCTTGCAATCGAGGATGCTTGTCCATCTGTCCACCGCAGTCAGCAGGTTGGTTATACAAGAGTAACCCTTCCTGAAACCATGCTGTTGGGGTGAGAAGAAGTTTAAGGACAGTAGATAGTCGTTTAAACCATCGCATATCAGGGACTCCATGAGTTTTGAAGGTAATGACAGAAGAGCCACCGGCCGATAACTTGAAGGTTCATTGCGTCGACCACCTTTGAAAATTGGTGTGATGTGAGCCAACTTCCAATTTTCCGGTAGTTTGCCTCGGCTAAGCGAGTGTGAAAACATCACGCTAAGCGGCGTTGCCAGGATTGAGGCTGCCTCCCTCAGTATGGCAGGATGAACCATATCCGGGCCAGGAGAAGTGTCAAGTCTTAAGTGCTGCAGTTTCCGGAACACCAAGTCAGCGCTTAGGTCCACTTCAGAAAGTCCTGTGGAATTGCAGATGAAACTGTCGTCAATAAAGTTGATGTCAGCCGGTTGAAATGTTTGAGAGTAATGTGCCGCCAGAAGGTTAGCGGCGTCGCCATCATTGTTGTTCGGGCCGTTAAGACCTAGCAGTTGAGAAACTCCTGTTTTGGCTTGACGAAGAGAGGCTGCGTAACGGAATAGGCTTCTAGGGTTAGAGGCGAATTTGTCCATAAGCTTTGTTTGGTACTGAAGCCTGTCTTCTCTTATAGCCTTCGTGCACATGTTCCTGATATGTTTATATTGCCTATACGCTCCATCGTTATTAGTTCGTTTGTATTCCGCCCAACAGTGTCTTTTGCGGCTTAGCAGGCGAAGGGTACGGTTCTTGATTACTGTAGGTGGCTTGCAGCTTTTGGGAACCGTTTGAGGAACAGAATGGTCTGTAGCACATAAGAGCGTGTGCAGTAAGAAGTCCCAATGACTATCCACATCGAGTTGAGGGTGAACATCCCAAACCACTTGTTGTAGATAGTCATGTAGAGCTGGCACATTCAGCCGTTTAAAATTCCAACGCAAATTATTGTTGGGATACCTTAGCTTAGTTTTGATGACAAAACTGAAGGCTATGACGGCATGATCGCTCTTTCTCAGAGGAGCCAGGATTGAGAGGTTGTCGACTAGGAATTCTTCGTTAGTGAATACACAGTCTAAGCGCGATGGTGTCTGACTGTTTCTCCAACGAGTTGCCGACCTCACATTTTCATATAAGCCCAAGTTATCGATGAGGATGAAGAACCGAGCTTCAGTTGAGTTGTCGCCTCCAGTGTACGTGTGTTCCGCGAAGTTGACTCTAGGGAGATTACAGTCCCCTAGAATCAGGATGTGTGTGAAACCGAGACGGATAGAGCGGGATAGTCCTTCCAGCATACGACTATCGTACTCGGTGTCGGCCGTTGGCTTCCTGTAAATGACTCCGACTAAACACCTGGAAGTACTAGACAGTCTTACAGAGCACCATATGGATTCCTCAAGATTGTTAAACTCGAGGTTGTGAACCTGGTGCACCTCCAAGCAAGAGCTTATGTATATGGCTACTCCGCCCTCAATTCCTATTTTTCTGTCGTTGCGGAACAAAGTCATCCCAGGTAATGCTAACTCTTGGTCCGAGAACTGAGAAGATATCCAGATTTCAGATATTCCTATCAGATGGGCCTTATTAGCGTTGCTAAGTTCACGTAGTTCATCCAGTTTGTTTGGTAGACTCGCGGCGCTCATATATAAGCAGTTTATGCTTTCAATTTGGAACACGTGAGCTTCGTCCTGTTTTTCTGTATGAACCTTATGTGAATGAACAGGTATCCCACCTATATGAGGTTTGCCGAGGTGGTAGGCCCTGTCCTTTACACGAAGTGTGATACCTCGAATAATTAAAACGCTCCACGCTTTTATTTACTTTAATCTCTATCTTTAAAATGTATTTACAAAAAGAAACGATTGGATATCAATATTCTACGGTTGGCATTGGTAAACTGCATCAATTTATTTTATCTAACTGGAATCTGTTTATCAGATATCGAATACACAAAATTAGTATTGACCTAATTCATAATCTCGAGTAAAGATGATTACAACTATTCAATTGCACATTGTTTAGTGTGATGTCGGCGTAAAAGTGAAGAATGGTTTCAGGTCACTTCGATTATATTAGCTTGGGATGCACATGATATACTGCTAGTTATTTTAAATTTTTCTCATATTTTTTTATGTCAATCGTTATTATGCACCATATAATATCTATGTGTCAGTCAACATTAATGTTAGGTTTGTCTAATATGCTCGTCGGCCAAAGTTAAGAGACCACATTACTACGCTAATATGAATTCCAAGATAGTGGTAGTATCAGGGCAAGCAAAAAGAACATAACATGATTCGAGACTGATTGGTTTCGTAGAACAAAAGCTATTAACCTAGGATCTAAGGGAAGACTAAGAGTGAATTCATCTACACTATTTCGTCTGATTCTGAGCCATATGGCTCAGATGATATATATCATCCAACTTCTCTAACCGTTGGTCGAGGTAATCATATGGACCCCAACCGTTCAATATGCACCTACTGACATGGCTCAGTCTATCAGCCTATGATTCCATGGACTGATGCATCGTTCTAGTTTGGCCACTCATAGTTTTCTCCCTACTTATTCCTACACCAGTCAACATCACTCACCAAGGTATTTCATTTTTCTAACCATCTTATTCTATGAAGACAACCTTTCCAAACGACCTACCATCTTTGTCTAGTACCCTTCACCTAGAATTAACATTTCTTACAGGGCAGACTTGATTGACATACTTGCCTTGTCATTGGCAAACGAACGCCAGGGCTACATCACAAGTGACTCAAATTAGCAAAAACTAGACTTATTTTTTGAATCCATCCCAAGATTTTGTCGAACATTATACATCTATATCTTTATGTGTTTCGTTTTCTTCAAATACATTATTGAATACTAATAACAATTTTTCGCTGCTAAATATTAATCAATAAAGCTCATTCTTGTACATATTTTCCCTATATTTGTATGTTTTAGCATTATTTTCCACAACAATGAGGCTTAGACTTGTACGAAGTTTGTATATTATTTTGTTATGCACTGTTTTTGCACTCTACATCACAATGCAATATTATTCTGAATCAAGAGAGAAAAATCTATTGACGCTAAAAAATACATTAGAAGATTTCCGTGAAAAACCAAAAGGTGTACTATCAATGCCTTGGCTCGCCGATATTCCAGCTGGTCAACAATGGTTAGTCATATTTACTTATTTACTGTGTTTAGTGATGAAGGTTTGAAACTTTTGTATGCATTCGCTGTTATCATTATCTATAAAGTAGATGGTTTAATTTTGTAGCTTTCGTTGTCTTTCTATGCAAGGTCGTTAGCACCTACTTTATGTAAGAGGACTTCTTATTTATTAAATTAGTTCATCCTGACCTTGTTTGTGGTTAATTTTCTTCGCTGGTTATATTTTTGACTTCCTTTTTTGATTGGCTTTTGGCAACATAATCAACAATGAGCTCTAACGGATGATTCAGAATAGTAATGAAAGCCTTGCAGGTAAACCCTCTAGTTAAGAGAACTCTAGGTTGTGTATAGTCTCAAATAAACTAAAAGGAATACCTGGTATATTTATAAATGTTAGTGTTATAATTTGTGGCTTGTGTGCCCTGTTAACGTAAAACGTACAATACCGCCAATTAGAGAACAGTGAATTATCGATCGGACCAATGACGAGTAAAACCCGTACGAGCAGTCTAGAGAGTCCTGTATTCTGCCTAGCCCGGCCAGTTATGTCCTAATTCCCTTACCAACTGATAGCTAGTGTTCTTATTCTCTGAAGAAATGGCTTACACCAAGTCACGAAACGTCAGAAAATTTAATTTTACTACTCATGGGGATATGACAAATATATTATTTTTATTGATAGCTAATTTGCTCTCTGTCACAACCGGTTATTGCTAATGGTTTCTAGCCAACAAATTTGTATTATCTTGTTTAGAGAGCTGTTTGTCAATACCTGTACTTTTTTGATGATGGTTGTAATATTTCTCCAAGTTTCACCTGCGTTGCGTGCAAGAGAACTGCTTCAACGTTTGTATTGAAAATTCTGAATTCGGTGTTGTGTGATAGTTGTTTAGGGTTTCACATATTCTTCAGTTGTAGGAATGCTCCCCTTGCTTTGTCGACTCGTGCCTTTACATCTGCATCAGATCGTCTTCATTTACTACATTGTTTGTTATTATTATACACCATCAATACATAATAAAATATTAAGATCAAGGTTTTTAATCTCTATTGTACCTCAAAGTGTTACAGACTGATCTGGAAAATCTTCGTACTAGATTCCGCGTTCTTATCAAACTGTTGGATGTCATGGGTTCGGAGCTTATAGGAGACATTATTTTCCTCCAGGTTATAGATGTGCCTTGCCTACAAGTGGTAACTAGGACGAAAGAAAAATCCAAGTGTTTCTTGTCAATTTATTTATTTAAACACATAAACATTGGTACAAGGAGGCACCAAATAGATATGCGCCACATAAATCATTCGACTTGTGTGAGGGTTGTGATACTGCTCGGGTGCCCAAACCTAAGCAGGTGGTTTTCTCAGGGGGCCACACCCAGAGCCTTCGACCTAAAGGTCTAATCCATAAGGCAGTGAGGCAACGTTAGGAGGTGAAGTCCCAGCATTTGGTTCACACGTCATTTATTGCTTCAGGATACTGAAGCCTATGTGCACCATTGGTTTGGAATCACGGTTTTCCAACTCCCTTAGGTGGATCCTCCACATCCACCAACCCGGTTAATTCGCCGGACATTCGCTTTTCGTCTTTTCAATTTCGTGAACAACAGACCCGCCATGAGAAGTCAGTGAGTAGGACTTGCCTGGCAGTGGCTTTATACAAGTGGCTGTGTGAGAGCATTTCGAAAGGGAGAGCTAACTCTCCCACCCTCGGCCGTATCAGGGCATTTAGTGGGCTTGGATACGTGTTACTAATATCATCCCAGTAACTCCCACATCTCACATTATTTGGTGAAGCTGGAACTGACTGGAAATGAAGAATAGCTGGTCATTTTATAACGTGGTGTAAAAAAAAGTTGTATATGACTGGCATCTGTCAGATCATTACAACTCCGCCATTATGGTCCTAGAGATGATACTATTCGATAGCTTAAAATGTCCTGTGGTTCCAAAGTGAAGTTGGTAATGACCCTGCCGCAGTTTTCCTTCACATTTTTGATAAAAGTGAAAATATTCTTAACTGAAAGAATCTTACATTTCTTCCTATAACTGAACTGTATCTCCTACTATCAACCGTTCTCGTTCACTTATTCTTTATAAATTTTTTAATTGTGCTTTCTCCCTTTATTTTTTCTCGATCTCATATTTTTATTTGTATGACGCAGAGGTGTTTTAGTACCCAGTTTTATCAGAATTTTGTGTGTACTTAATGAAATAAATAACTTCTAATGAATTCAACTGACTTCCTGACCGTTGCTGCTACCTTGACGTGGTGATCGGGCTTGCCTATCGTGGTAAATCAGTCGAGTTATACTGGCTGGAACAATTGTTCCTCAAGGTCCTACCATGTCAGGTTGAAGGGTGGTAAGACTAAAAGCTTCGAACCCAAGCTCCAAGAGCAAAGTCGTACTGCTGACTGTACAGAGATTTGAAGACAGTAAGGTGTTTCCTTCAGACAACCAGCATGACAGCGATGCTGCCGTCCCACAAGGAGGGGTGGGGTTAGAAATATTCAGTCCTAAAAATGCACACCTCGTCTTATCCAACGGATATCCGTCTCCGGCGGTAAGATCTCAACAAGTACTCGCAAAAAGGTCCACCTTTAACCCAATTTCTTTTCCAGGTGCCTCCAGAAGTACCTTTCCACGGTTGAGGAACGGGGAAGTAATAACCGCCCTCATACTTCCAACAGAACTCAATTCAACTACGTTAGAAGATTATCAACTACTGTTGACTGTACTACGAAAAATTGACTATACGTGATAGGAGTTTCATTTTAGTGATACATGTATAAAGATGATGGTTTACTGGGTAGATATAACCAAATTCTAAGTATTAGAGTAGAAATTTGATAGCCATTCTTGATGCCTAACCCCTGTTTAGTATGAATGTAGCCTGCAGATAGACAGTGTAACTTACGACTGAATACACGAATTTGTAATTATTTACTGAGTCGTAGAGACTTCTTAAAAATTATATACTCTTACAAGAAGGAAACTCATTTTCAACGTCATCACTGTTGAATAAATAATTGTGGTGATGTTGGCTGATAAGTATCATATTGAATGGTTGAATAATTTCACAACTACGCCCCATAGTTGCAGTAGAATGGTTATTGGAAGATCAAATAGGACACACTAACTAATTGGTTTATATTAAGTTAAGCGAATGTCCAGCGGTTTAACCGGGTTGGTGGATGTTGAGCATCCACAGTCGATATTAGGAGGATATGGTGATGATATAACATGAAATGTGTCGAATTACCACTTATTTCCCACATAAATTTTTTGTAACGCTTTTATATTTACTCGTTATTATTTGAAATTACTTTTGGCTTGAAAAACAAAATTATGCGTCTCCCTTTCTTTTCGTTAATGTTAATTAATGAAATAAAGGTCTACTGATAAGCCAACACCGGATTCGAGAGGTATTCATTCCCAATTACCTACCAATAAATTGAAGGCAACAATTGATTTTGGCAAGAGTAAACATTTAAACATTGAAACATTTCAAGCTCCAGTATGTCCTAAAATTGACAATGATTATTCAGTAAATACAACATATCAAGTGAGATAATTCTCCTGAGTAATTATTTCATATACTTGTTTTAGAGTTTGTTTCATTATTGATCGTGTTTTGAAAATCATTTGTAAGACTTGTTGATAGTTTGTACTTTGTGCTTGTTGATTTATATTGTGCACATGCTGGAACAACAGCACCTAACCTTGAACACCATCGTGCCTAACATCGAAGATGATTTGTAGAAAGTTTAAAGAGGTTTGACCATTTCATTGCATCAACCTATAAAGTGATTGTTGGTATTAGCTATGTTAAGGTGTCCGGATTACATTCTTGGATGTTGGCTGTTTCAAAATGCCTTTCCAGGAATCTTTCATTTCCATAATGTGTGTAGATTAAAAGCGAAACAACTCACGAGTTGATTTTTTTAAAACTAAATCAACCTATAACTACTTCCTTTAGCTGACGAAAACCTCATAGCTACTGTATGCATATATGTATATCGATCATTGTACTTCGAAACATCAAGTAATTAACCTTTTTTCACTTTTTACTGTGCATGGAATGTCAATTTTACTCAGTTTGTTTCATTGAGTTATTTATTAAAATATCTGGCAATTTTCATGTAGAGTCTTCATTAACATCCTTCTAGTCTTGAACATATTCATAAAAAATTGTTAAATATATTTTTTCTTATCACTTTACAAACTGTTACCATACCACATGGTTTGAGCCAACAATACTGTCAGTTAGTCAGTCATGTAGTATTTAAAAATGTAGTAATATTTTAATTATGTTTCTTTTGATCATAGTGTTATGTAGAAAGTGAATGCTATCAGCTAGGTATAACATTTTTTATTAGGCTGTGACTTTAATGTTGTTTGATGTGATTCTGTATAATTAGGATATAGTCGTCTGCATAATCAATGAATCGCCAATAATATAACACTTAGCACCAGTTTGTAACGGTTCCAGTTATCATAACTGATATTAGCATAGTGAGAGAGGAAATCGATAAATTGAAAAGCTAAGTGAGTGAATCGGTTAGCTTCAAATTCAGTGGACGTTTGAACATATGAAATATAGCCTAAAAATAATTTTTTAGAATTTAGAGTTCAATATAACACTTACCTCAAGATTTAGAGGAGAATGAAGAATTAATACTACTGTACCACATCACCAGCTACTCGAACCACTGATCTTGAGGGCCATTCAACCAGATAGTCTTCCGATATGACACATTAACAATTAATAACTTCATGTACCCGTTCCGTATCATGAATTGTTTAGCTGTGGCTTTATTCTAACCTGGTTCTATGTTAAATAGCATTGGATTTCAAGGTAGATGGTAACTATTTATATGTTAAACATGTCTTAACCATCTCATTCGATACAGATTTGTAGCTTTGTTAGTCGAAATAGTTCTTTTTTTGGACAGTATTCTAGTTCTCATCTCTTCATTGTTTGCTGTACGGTTACACTATATATGAGCAATTAGTCAAAAAAACCTGTGACCGAATCCTTAAAGCGTAAGTATATTTCCCACCTTCGTAAACTACATGGATTAATGGAAAGGAAGCTGCTATGCAACATACTCGCTGTTTGATTTTCAGACTGAGATATTGCCTGTACTATAGTTGGACAAGTTTGTCCTAGTCAAAGTATTTTTTTCCAGTAGTAGTATTACGTAATTTTTCTTAAGATGAAGTTAATATCTGTTGTCTTCGTTCTATTTTGAGATGAATAATATTTATAACCAGTTGGCATTTGATGATCAACCCGGCGGTGTGTGGACTCAAGGATTTCCGATTGAATATAAAATGGATCAGTGGAAGGATCAACCATTAGAAGTTTTCATTGTACCGTTTTCACATCACGATCCAGGTACTTCCAAGAGTTTTTTCTGTGATAATGAATTCTTTCCTTAAAATATTGAGTTTATTTGTGAGCAGTTATAGTCGAACAATTACGATTATAAGATTACATTTTGTTTTTAGCCGACTAATTAAGAACATATACACCGTATGTAAATAAACCTGATGTATGTAATACAATTACTGGCTAATTAGTCTCTGAATTCTTTGTACTGTTTGTTTCATTGTTTAATTTACTAATAAGCAACTCAATAAAGAAATTAAGACAATCCATCGAGAAAAACCTTTTCGATGATGTTATTTATTCAAGCTGTTTTATTATAGTGACTGGTCATGCTCTAGTGCTCTCTCATTTGTGACTCTTACCTGTCCAAATTTAAGTCTAATACGATCAATAGTTCGATTCTGGAACACTTAGTCAAATTTAATTATGTAGCCTGTCCAAACAATGTGAATCAAAAGGAATAAATACCGAAAATCTTTACTTAGCAAAATCGTTGGCAAATCATAATTTTACATCGGATCTATACGTTTGAAAACGGCGTGTTCAAACTTTCGTTTTCACCTAGTAATAATCATAAATCCCTTCTCAATTTAGAAGTTATTACCCCTTATTATTAAATCATTCTACATTTTCTCGGTAATTTTCTAGTGAACAATCATCTTTTATATAATAATCTGTTTCTAACTTTATCATTTTACATTATCATTTTGTCCATTACGTAATTTTTTTGCTTATACTTTCTATCATAATATCTGTTTGTTATATTGTATACTATATGGGTACTAATCAATCTGTATATGTAATTATACAACCCTAATGAATAACATTGCTGGAAAGAAAATCTTGTTTGTATTTCAAAGAAAATACTGTCATAGAATTCTGATACGCTGAATGAATCCAGATATATCAATTACCTGTACCCACATCATGGTTTAGGGCCTCTAGAGTAGATGAGAGATATTGATGGAGCCACGCTATTGGTTAAAGTGGTTTATACAATTCGTCAAGGTTTGTATCATTGTTTTAAGCAATATATTTATATCAATGGGTTGCATACATCTTAATCCAGTTGTTCTTAGTCTGTTAACTTACGTACGAGATCGGGCTCGAGCACAGGAATGCTTGAATATCAATATCTGGTCGAACAACCTCGGAATATAGCAAACTTACATCTTAAAACATATGATAATTAATTCTCATCATCAACCATTTCTTATTTATATCCAATGGATTTTTCCATATACATGATCTTCCTCTATTTGACATATTCTAAAGTTGTTTTCCTTTACGTTTACACTATTTTCTTTTTTAGGTTGGATTAAAACTTTTGAAAGATACTTCGTCACTGAAACAAAGCCTATTCTAGATGCTACGTTAACGACATTAAGCGAAAAGGAAGAATCTAGGTTTGTCTATTCCGAAGTGTCGTATTTAGATTCATGGGTAAATACTTTATCAGAGGAACAAAAACAAGCTTTCAAAAGGTGGGTAATCCTAATTTATTTGTGAATGATTTATATATATATATATATATATATATATATATATATATATATATATATATATATATAGCTTCCGACCACTATCTGGTAGTCGCCAAAATGAAACTGAAGCTAAATAAGCAATGGACAACTGGGGAAACAGCATTACAAAGGTTCAATACTGCCTTCCTTCGAGATACAAACTCAACGAATTCAAGGTAGATCTCAACAACACATTCCAAACCTTACACGATCTACTGAAAGAAAAAGAAACTACTATGGAGGACGATTGGAAAAGGATCACAGAAGCACTAACTTCGACGTGTCAGGAGGTTCTAGGCCTCATGAAGCATCATCACAAGGAATGGATCTCTATATAAACCCTGCACAAGATTCAAGAAAGGAAGAACAAGAAGACAGCAATTAATAACAGCCGAACAAGAACAGAGAAAATCAAGGTACAAGCTGAATACACAGAAGTAGACAAGCAAGCTAAGAGAAACAGACATAAAAGTAACTACAAACATGCTCCACGTTCTTTTCAGGAAGATTTGGGCGGAAGAACAAGTGCCGATGAACTGTAAAGAAGGACACTTTATCAAGGTACCGAAGAAAGGAGATCTGAGCAAACGTGATAACTATAGACGAATCACACTACTATCAGCACCAGGAAGGTTTTTCAACAGAATGTTTTTGAACCGGATGAATGATTCAGTAAGCGCCCAACTTCGAGATCAATAGTTCGGTTTCCGTAAGGATCGATCGTGCACGGACCAAATCACAACACTACTGATAATTGTTTGGCAGTCATTTGAAAATATCCTATTATTCAAAAAAGATTTCATATGTTTTCTTTTACAAAATCTTATAGTCTTTATACGCTATCTATGCATATAATTTCATCGCCTTATATTACCGATTCTGATTGATTCACAATTTCTATTTTGTTAACAATTTGTTTATTCACTTCATAGATTGTTGCTCAATGGACATTGGGAAATTGTTTCAGGTGGCTGGGTTATGCCAGATGAAGCAGTTACGCATTATTATCCGATTATTGATCAATTTATTGAAGGTCACCATTGGTTATTAGAACATTTTGGTTAGTTTTTTTCCCAAGAAATTGCCAAATTAAAGTTGTTTGTTAATGCTGGAATATTTATTATGTGTACGTATAACTAACCTTTGCCTACTTACCTTAATGAGTGGTTTCAACTGGTAAAAGAGTAAGTTGAGCCAAATCTATCAGTGGTAAAACAAAAACTCAAGCACCAGTCCCAACAATAATCGTGATTAGTGGTTGAAGACATTGGATGGCATTCGTTTAGAATTCGTTGCAGTGGCTAAGGTGCCTTCACTTACTACCTCCCTTATGATTTTGAGTTCCAGTATTCTATCATGTATACCTTTTTGTACCTTTTTTTCGAAATGTTTTCTCAATGTTTAGTCTTTCTCATAATTATTGGTACTCCATTATTGCTACTCTGTTTCTATTCATCTTCCTAGTCTTATCTCGTTTTGCTAATATTGTTTGGGGAATTGGGCCAACTATTATTCGTGCCAGGATCTACGTTGATTATGATCGACTATGGTTTTTTCAATATGTTGCAAAAGTTTTGATCAAAATAGATGGAATGTGGCTAGCAGTAGAACCCAAGACGTTGGTTTCGTTTTATTTGGGACTCGTCATCAGGATGTACTCAAATCTCAGAGTTTCTCTCCTAGATTCCACTGTTAACTATATTCCATCTATTCTATAATGGGTGTATCGAGACAATCCACACAGTATTCATATATGTCAAATTTCAGTTAAAATATGAACAACAGGATCACTCAAACCATTTCAAATTGTATTAGTTATTATTAGTTTAGTAAAGACATAATCTACATCTATAAAGTAATAAACTTCTGATACATAGAGGAGTCTTATCTCCATATTTTTCAAAATATAAACAAGTTAGTATTCAAATGTAACGTTTTTCACATTGTTAGATAGGAATTTGACTGAAATATGTATGCGTTAAGTAGTTGAATCTTAGGTATTGTTCTAGCTAGTGTAAATGTTCATAAATACTTCTAAATAAGTACAATAGTAGTAAATGGTGATTGTTTTTCTTTTCAATTAAGAGTTAAAGGTTAAAACATTCCATTACAATGTGTTTCTTTTATATTAAAAATCAATTATCTGTATATGTGAATACTGAAAGCTAATAAATTAAAGAATAGTATTTTTAATGGTTAATACTAACTATATACCACTATTTATGAAGTGAAACCAACTATTCTTTTATTAACAATAACTTAAATTAACATTATGTTACTGAACAAATATTTTTTGATCATTAACTCAAATTAACATAGAGACTAGGGTAAATGATGTAGAGTTTAGAGCATTTGTTTTATCTACTTTAATCTAGTATAGAGGGGGTAGATTATTGTTTAAGGCTTTCAACTTCCGGCTACAGCCCCCGAATGTCCTGGTAAGGTCAAGGTTGGGGAGAGTTAGCTCTCCCTCTCGAAACGCTCTCACACAGCCACTTGTATAAAGCCACTGCCAGGCAAGTCCTACTCACTGACTTCTCATGGCGGGTCTGTTGTTCACGAAATTGAGAAGACGAAAAGCGAATGTCCGGCGAATTAACCGGGTTGGTGGATGTGGAGGATCCACCTAAGGGAGTTGGAAAACCGTGACTCTAAACTAATGGTGCACATGGGCTCCAGTATCCTGAAGGAACAAATGGCATATGAACCAGTCGTTGGTCGCCGGCTACCATGGGACTATATTTCCTGACGTTGCTCTACTGCCTTGTGGATCATACCTTTAGGTCGAAGGCTCGGGATGTGGCCCCCTAAGACAACCACCTGCTTTTGTCTGGACACCCTGGCAGTATCGCATCCCACGCACACAAAGCGAGTGACTTGTGTGGCGCATATGTATTCGGTGCCCCTTTGTACCAATATTTATGTATTCAAATAAATAATAAATAAATAAAATCATGTACAAAATGTTGACTCTTTTATTGTCCTTCCTCTTTATTTCAACTACCAGACTATCGACCAAATGTCACATGGGCTATTGATCCGTTTGGACAGAGTTCAACAATGCCATATATAGCGAAAAAACTTGGTTTCTCTCAAATGATTATTAATCGTGTACATTATGAAGTCAAAAAGTATCTTGCTAGTCGTAAAGCCTTGGAATTTATGTGGCATCAACCGTGGGGTAAGCGAGAAAATAGTCTTTTCAATTATCTTTTACTTCAGATATTATTGTCGCTATCTCAACACTCTTTTTCAGTTATGTTTAGTGTCAGGTTGTTTCTATCAGGATATAGACGGTGATATTGCATCGGATATCATTCAATTGATTTGCATTTTCGAAACGTGTCTTTTTCGTTACGGATCCTTGATAATATTTGACTCAAAAGCTTGCAACATAAACTGGTAAGGGTTTCAGTTTTAAAACACCTAAAAATAACACCCTTTAGCATTGCAACTTAAGGGAAAACTAATTAAGGTTGATCACATGGTCTTTTTTGTGAGTTGTTTTAACTCCGTACATTTAATGCAACTGCGGAAGTCTGCTGGGTTAGTTCAAGTGTGGTAATTTCACGACCAACATTTTCTAACCCTCTCCTTCCGTTGTATGAAGACAGCGTTGCTGGAGATGTTGGTTGTTTGAGGGGTACAGTCGAATTTACTTAGCTATGTTATTATTATTACTACTACTACCATCAGAAATTCAGCCTAGATTTAATGTGTACTGTTCTAAACAAGTTTATTGTCATTATAATCGATATAAGAAAACAATAAATTACACTAGAAAATGAAAAATCTATTTTTATCTATTCTTTTTAGCAAATGAACTACTCATGATATATTCACAACTGAGTGTAAAATTCACGAGTAATTTTTATCACGCTATTGTCTCATATTAATGATTGGTTTTTATTTTACAGATACTGTCGGTTCCCACTCTATCTTGGCGCATATGTTTCCATTCTTTTCATATGATGTTCCTCATACATGTGGTCCAGAGCCTGCAGTATGCTGTCAGTTTGATTTTATTCGAATGGAAAGGTACAGTTGCCCATGGAAAAAATCACCGGTCCCCATAGATGATTCAAATGTTGCTGCTCGGTGAGTAAATGCTCACAAGTACTTGCTTTTTGTGTAATATTTTATGGTGTCATATTCGCTGTAGAGCCTGATAGATACGTACAACAGTTCAAGTTATTACGGTATATCAACACATTAAATTGGTACATAGGTACATTTTTGATACATGACTGAATAGCACATAACGATTATCATAGGGTGATGTGTAGAGATTAGTGGATTTTTTTATTTTACATCACCGACAACTAGCAAAATCCAGGAAGCACTGAATAACCATCTCTTCCTGATATGCGACACCTCAGTAGTAGATATCTATGACTTCAAAGAGGGTTGGACCTAAGACTTTCAGACCTCATAGTGAGCGCTTAATTTTTAAACCAATGAGTTGGCACTATTGGGCTTACTTAACTCCGTTGTTATAATGTAGCGTTTATTTTATTTAGAACATTTAGTCACTTTGACACATTTAGATAATACAATGAGAAAACGAAATTTATCAGAACTACTTTAATGCATTAACGTAGTACATTCTGAATAGCAGTATAATCACATATTTACTTATTAAAACATCTACATATGTAAAAGGAAAAGCCAAACTAAGCGGTTTGAAAGGCGAAGGTCATTATGACAAAAGAACAACACAAATTACACCACTCTGGTTCAATATCATGAGAGTAGGTTCAGGGTGAGATTAAAATTATTTTTTAACACATCAATCGCGTTTGTGTGGCTGATAATTCAATAAGCCTTAGTGTTCATTCCTGATCGCAACACCAATAAAGCTGGTTTAATAACTACATGTCCTTTTTCAACTCACCATTTCATGACGGGGAGATGTTTGTTTATCCTACACTTTTACCAAACCATCGGAATTCATTTGTTTTTGTAACCATTTTAAGTATGTACTCAGCTACCTTTTACATACAGATCACAATATTGTTTTACCTACATATGTTCAACTTGCCTGTTCATATCTCCACAATATTCGTTTTTTTCTTACTAATTGTCAAATTTACAGAGCTGATATGTTAGCTGACCAGTACAGGAAAAAGGCTACATTATTCAATAATAGTGGTCTAGTTTTAATCCCATTAGGCGATGATTTTCGTTATCAATCAACACATGAATGGAATGTTCAGTTGGATAATTATAATAAATTAATTCAACACATCAATTCAAATCCTAGCTATAGGATGAAAGTAAGTTTTCTGCATGAACTACTTCTTAAGATAATTCTCCTTTTTAAAATTTGTATTATGTTTACATACTACTTAATAGCACAGATTAATAGTAGTTTGAAATTAAATTAATTAATCATGTTTCAATGGTATTTGATCTGTCTAGTTGGTTTTCTTTTAAAAGTTTAAATTTACTTTTAGTCTAATGATGATTAAATTTGTTGTTTTAAGTAAAGTAAGCAATATTTTACCACTTAAATATCTCTGAATTGACTGAAGATTCCCCACCTATTCGGATAATGTCGATGGTGTTTCAAGTTTATATGATTCATCTTGAAAATAGTTGAAATCGCAAAGCTATTTCAATTAGACTACGGATCACTAAACAATTATTTCATTTTAGTAATGAATCTACTAATCAGTGCTTATCTACAATTCATTCGTTAGTTCCGTGGTAATCACATTATTTTTATTAACCTACTCCGTTGATATTAAACAGTTCTCACTGACACAACATCTGTCAACTCTCCATATTGCTTAATTACTGTCCTTTATCGTTGTTATCGTACTGGAACATGACTCTATAATATAGTCAAAGGTACTAAGCATCAACCCAAGGATGAAATCTTACAACTCTCTTGGGAGCGGCGTAGGTAATGAGAAGCTATCAAGAGTTAGACTATAGATTGATTCGCTATGATAATTGTTTAGTCTAACATTTGATTGTATTTCGACAATTTCAGTTATTCATAATTTCGCTATATTATGCTATTATATTCTGATAATTTCTCGTTTATTTATATTCGTCCAGTTATGACAATTGTTTAGTACAAAGTTTGTTATAATTATTTAGATGTATTACGTAATCACTGCCAGTAGTGCTTTTCCATTAAATGTATTCATCGTAGATTAGGCTTTGTTTTCTTAATAGTTGAGTGCTGGGTCTGCTCTTTTTGTTCAATTTACTTCGATCTCAACTAGTATTAAATCCAATTACAATAAAATGGATGTATATATATACGCGAATCTAAATGCATATTGAGTGATGAATAACCCAGTTTGATATTTGTGAATTACTAGATCACATTAAAAGATTCCTTGCCTATTTTGAGATCATAGAGTGAACAGTGTTGAGGTTAGATGCAGAGTACTAGACATAGATGGTAAATAGTTTGATAAGATGATTAGTGTTCGTCGAGTGAGAAATGCAATAGGTCTTGGTTTCGTGGACACTTCATGCTTTCCGGCATATGTTTGGTTTAAACGGAAGCTAGGTTCGATCAAACCAAGACATACCATCACTTAATGAAGTCACTGACTATTAGATTAACTCTTGATAAATATATACAGACTACCTAGTTGAAGTTCATGATATTATCGTAACCAAACCATTTGAATGGCACAAATGTATTCACTCGTTTTTTTCCTTAGATTTCAATTCTAAGATTATCTAACACTTAATTCCACGAATTCATTGTTTCTTATCGAATCATATCATTACTACGTTTACCATTCTGGTATTTATCTTGGTAATTTAATCTAACTGCATTGTTTCATAGTGAAAACTTGAACTGATGGACATATGTACCATGTTGGACGTCTTTCTTTCTAACTAACTGATTAACCGAATTTCAGCATATAAATTGGTAGTATGAGTTTACTTCTTGTTACAATAATGATTTAGAAACAGATTCTCAATGTGTTGTTTCTGTCTTCAATACTTTCTTTTGTAATTAACTTGTCTACATTTGTTATCTTCAATTTTCCCTATGAATAGATACGTTTCTCTACATTATCCAATTATTTTCATGCATTAAATGAACGAGTAAACAAAATGAATTTAACACTTTCTGCATCATTTCCATCATTATCTGGTGATTTCTTTACTTATGCAGACCGACAACATGACTATTGGACTGGATATTACAATTCATATCCTTATGAAAAATTTTTATCACGTTTATTAGAATCTGAGTTAAGGTATGCTATTATTTTTTGAGCTAACAGCTCAATGACTTATTTTGTGTGTTCTGACTGAATGTGATGGTTCAACTGTTTCATTAAGAATCATATATCAATAATAACGATCTATAGATTTAGAGTGAGAACAGGAAAAAAAAATGCAAAATATGAAATAGTCTATTATATATATGTAGCTTCTAAAGTTACATCTGTTTACACTCACTAGCAAATCATGATTTACTATGAGTGAACATGTCAACTTATTTGCAAGTTTGGATCTTGACCCATTTTATATTCAGAGTACACTTAACTGTTGAACAAAATATATATTGATCAAAGTTTTTTTTAACATCAAAATACACTTGACTATGTAACTATCGTAAATGATTATTAACACGGAATCTTATCTATCTCAAACAACAATGATGTATTGAATAACTTAAATATTAACTCTTCACTATTCTAGTAGATAGTCAAATATATTTAAGTAAAAGCAAGGAGTTAGTCAGTTAAATTCAGTGATAATTTTTGTTATAACGTCAAATTTCCATGTAGACAATATTCTTAAAGATTATCACTCGATGTGTGATCACTTCAACTAACAATATTTGCATCAAAGAGTAGGTTATAAGGAGGTTAGGGGCGACAAAAGTAAAACGCTGCTTCTGTTTGCAAGTTCATTGATCGTTTATATGAACCATGTTTTTGGAATCCGCGTAATAACTGAGACCGGTTTTTGAAAACTTTGGGTGACTTAGTTCAGTATCATTCACAATAGCTCAGATGCATTCATTCATCTTCTGATCTTTTATCCCTTCGTACATACTTTCCCACTCTATCTTTTCAAACGATATTCTAAGAGTTTAATCCTTTTTTATCATTTCTACTACATTATTTCAAACACTGTTTTTATCTCGTCATACTAATGTGCTATGGGAACCTGAGCCAACACACATAATTGCCAGGCTGTATGTTAACGAACTAGCTAGCTAGATTAGTTCGTCGCTGATTTTGTCCAATAATGTATATAACAATCTGAACGGAATATACTATTCTAATTAACTGGTAGTAATCAGAGTTAACCCTTGATTTGCTGTATACCAGGTCTTTAAAAATAAACGATATTCGTCTTATTGATTTATTCTCTGTTTTGTTAAATCTCTCTTCTTTTTTAAACATAGAACAGCTGAAATACTTTACAGTTTTGCTAGACAAAGTGTTGGTCGTATACAAAGCGTGGCTCAATTAATACCATTAATTGCGAATCTTTATCAGAATCTTACAACAGTTCGACGTAATCTTGGTTTATTTCAACATCATGATGCAATACCTGGTACAGCACGACCAGAAGTAATGCTTGATTATTCAGAAAGGTAAGACATTTGTTTTATTTGGAAACAAATATTGATTCATTTCTAATAGTCGCATATGTTATCTAAGCTAAATGGTTTAATCGCGGTGCTATCGTTGACATTCTGTACAACGTCATCAATACTGAATCATAAACAAAACCGTTAGGTTTTGTGAGAGAAATATGAAGCTCACTTCTACATGAAGTAAGCGCTGATAATGTTGTCTAGAGCGAAAATCAAAGCTCCTCAGTTAAACCAATTAGCTTTGAGAACACAACACTATTAAACCCATGCAACTGAGTTACAAATCCTCATTATTTCAGTATTCATTATTTTTTATTCTTAAATTATCTTTTGCCTAGTCAAAAGTAATGTTAGATGGTTTCAGGCGATTAGTGGGGCTAACCTTACTCCTAGTTATTATGTTCATTTTTATAGGTATGTTGTATTTGTAAATGTTAAACAACTAATGTTTCTCCATTTATAAATTGGACTGGCGTCACCAATATATTAATCAGAGGCATCAACATTGAATTATTTGGACCAGTACCGGTCACTTTTAATCACTTACGACTCTTCTATGTGTCTATAGATAAACCCCAACAAGAATTTCGATAAATGAACATGCGGCTTTCAGATCCTCAAAATTCTAAGTTTTAAAAATTTTCCAGTGACTTGGCGTTCAGGTTTATTTTGACCCGTCTTTAGCTACCCAAATTGAGATGTCAACGCAATGAGTGCGCACAACATGAAATACTGTTCAAATGAACCTGTACAATGTTTTAAGTGATCCCCTAACTTAGCCCGCTCACGGCTATTGAGAAGTTAAAAAGGTGAAAGGTTTCTTCCATCGAACCGATGGTAATACATACATAGATAGTTTTTCTAATCTTTCTTTGAGAAACGTATACTGTATCTGTGATTTAGAGTAATTGTCGGTATGATCTTACTGAATTTATTTACATGGTTTTCCATAATAAAAATCTCTGTATTTCTTTATTTTTGTTCCGCGACCCTGAAATTGCTGTTTCAAAATCGATTTATGCGTTGCTACATAGTATTTTCAGGTTTATTCGTTTTTGTGAAAACAGCATGGCCACCAACGTTTATTCATTCGTATTTTTTCGAAACACTTCCGGTCATTTTTTGAAAGCCGTCTTCATTCGAATATGGTTATGCTTTTTACATTGGTGTTTTCCTTGCAATATATTGGAACAGTTGCAAATCTGCCAAATAATTTGTTCATACGATCGGTATATATATATATATATATATATATATATATATATATATCAGAAAGTTGATCAGGCCCGTGTACAAGATTTTGTATCAATATCGAAACTCGACACTGTATGACACAGCGGTTTCTGTTACTTCACGCCTTCCATGAGACCTGAAGTTTCTGGATTTAATCTCTTGTGGTGTCATGAATTCTTATACTAGAACGAAATAGCTATTTAATGCTTTGTAGTTTTCAGTGTTTGTTCAACCATAATCAGTCTATGGTGTGAAATTTCAGATCCAACAATTTCTCACATAAATTAATTTCATATCTCAGAAACATTTTCTCCTTTTGTTTGTTTTTTGAATATCCTGTTTTTTTGTTCCCTCACAGATTATTGAGAGCTGTCGATGCGGCACGAAAAGTTATTACAATCTCCAGTGCTTATCTGCTACTATTACCATCAATGTTAAAATCAGATATTGAGTTTTCGAATAGACGACGTCTACCTGTCTCCAGTCAGTTTAAACAAACGTTAATTCAGTTAAATGATGAATATGAGAGAAAAACCGATAATAGCAATGATAATATTTTACATGGTTTCTATTCTCTAGAAGATAATTTACATCATCATCAATATTCAGAGCCAATTTTAATTGATTTCTTTGAGAATAATGGTAATGCTGATGTTGAAAATACTCGGTTAGTTAACAATCTAGTCAACTGATTTTTTTTTCATACAACCAGATCCTTTGATGAATTGTCTCTTGTTTCTTTTTTTTTTGCTTTGAATTTTCATCGGAATTTAAGTCAGTTTTTTCTCTCTTTACATTCATGTTTCATACAATTATATCGTTTGATAAATTTTGAACAACGAATCAGTTCAACAAAGTTTGTAGAATAAAATGAATTTATCTATCCATTTCACGGTTCCTCATCATCTGCGTACAATCTGAAATTATAATTATGAATATAAATATAATAATTATTATACAGGAGAATAGGGACATAAAATGTATGAATAAACACAGTTAAGATCAATGTGTATTTCGATATTGTGCAGTAATAATTAAGAGATTATGTAAAGGTAGTGAAATTAATAATAAGTGATTGAGTTAAGAGGAACCCCTATTGACCATGGCCGAGAAAGACTAATCACATTTTCCTTCAGTATATGTGGGTCAAATTTATTTATTTATTTATTTAGACACATAAACATTGGTAGGAAGAGACACCAAATAGATATGCGCCACATAAATCATTCGATTTATGTGAGGGCCGGGATACAGCCCGGATGCCCAAACCGAAGCAGATGGTTTTTTTAGGGGGCCACACTCCAAACCTTCGACCTAAACGTCTGGTCCACAAGGCGGCAGTAGAGCAACGTCAGGAGATGCAGTCCCACAATAGCCGGTGACCAACGATTGGTTCATACGCCATTTTTTTCCCTCAGGATCCTGGAGTCCTTGTGCGCCATTATTTTGAAATGAGGTTTTCCAACGACCCTAGGTGGGATACAGAGAATCCACCTAGGGTCAATTCAAAAATATTTGACATTTTATTTTGTGTTTAATAAACACATAATTGGACAATTTGTAAGATTTTAAGTCTATAGTTGTGTCAATACACAGTTTGTGTACACTTATTCGACAAATACCGACTGTATTCACATAAATGTTTTCTCGCATTGATATTTTAACAATCATCAATTTTTTTTGTATCATTTTTATTTCTGTTTCACTCTACTACTCTTGGTTTCTCTTTTTTCTTTTTTTTAAATAATAACCACAGTCGTATTTATATTTTCAATCCGTCGACTCGCAATCATAGTAAAATAATCACATTACATGTGAAAAGTCGTCTAATGAATTTTACAGCTAAACAGATTATTTCAAATTCTATGGAAATATTGGATCATCAGTTAAATATACAATTAGAGCATAGTTCAACAAATGTACCAAATGATTTTCAACATGAACAACAACATGTTAGTTTGTTATATTTAAGTCCAGTTAAATTATATCCTCTGTCATTTACATGTATTGAATTGAAATTAACATCAATGCCAACGTCATCTTCTATGTTACAAGTAAATCCACAATTAATACCAGTTATAAATGATGCTGAGATATTAGTTCATAAGTGAGTTTTGATTTGTATCAGTTTTTGTGTATTATGTGTAATGTTACTAAGATTATGCTCTTGTACACGGAGTAATAGACGAAATGAGTATAAGTATGCTAAGTATTAGGTTAAACTACTATGTTGACATAATATACTGATGATACTTTGCTTTGTTTTGAACGAAATTTGTTTAGGAATAACAGTTGAAACAAATAATTGTGAAAAAATTGTTAAGAAACTAATCGCAGTAGTTTTACTTGGGTCTAGTGAATGATATCCAATTAAGTTTTCTGGTTATTTATGTATTTATTTATTTTAACACATATATATTGGTACAAGGAGGCATCAAATACATATGTACCACACAGATCCCATTCGATATGTATAAGGGCTGTGATACTGCCCAGGTGCCCAGACCGAAGCAGGTGGTTTTCTTAGGGGGCCACACCCCGAGCCTTCGACCTGAAGGTCTGATCCACAAGGCAGTTGAGCATCGTAAGGAGATGCAGTCCCTTGGAAGCCGGTGACCAACGATTGGTTCATATGCCATTTGTTCCCGTAGGATACTGGAGCCTATGTGCACCATTGGTTTGGAATCCGGTTAAAGCGTCGGACATTCGCTTTTCGTCCTCTCATTTTCGTAAACAACACCAGTGCCACGAGAATGCAGTGAGTAGGACTTCCCTGACAGAGGCTGTATACGCGTGGCCATGTAAGAGCATTTGGAGAGGGAGAGCGGACTCTCCCCACTCTCGGCCGTACCAGGGCATTTGGGGGCAGTATATGTACCGCCGAAGTGAGTAATTCTCTGTACATAGATGTAACGTATCTCACTTTAAAGTGTTGGCTCTTATTAACCGTAGTTTAGCTAATATTGAAACATAAAACTCGTGTTTCGTCCCCTATGGGACTCGTCAGCCAGATGTGCTTTCTCACATCCCAATCCTAGTGTTTACACTGGGACTCGAACACCGTAATGTTCATTTTTAATGTTAGAGTATTATCCATTGAGCTAATGGTTCTAAATAATCACTAAATTGTTCATCGGTTATAAAATTATATGTATATGAAGGTTTACATTTTCCTATTGTTGCAATTCGCAATTTCATTTTATCATTCTCGATTGGTATATATGTGTTGTCAACGAATCACCTCGATTGTGATCTAAGATTAAATCAGAATTCAAACTGTGAAAATCACATCGATAACATAAATATTCCAATGAGTTCTTTTTACAATCACATGTTATCGTTGTTATTCATTTATTTATTTATTTTATCTACTATTAACACTATTTGCGTTTACTTCGTTTAATTTCTCGTCCTAATTTTTCACGTAGAAGTCGTCCTCAACTTTTCATAGAGAATGATTATATTCAATTGGAATTTGATTCTAAAACTGGTTATCTTCAAGTAAGTATGTTTTTATATTTTAGTTACTTGTTTTGTATCTACCTATTTTTCACACTTCATCCTTACTCATTTTATATATTTTTTAATGTGAGTTCTTCGTAATGTTTTGTTTTAATCCATGAGTTTTTTTCGGAGACATGTGATTGTAGACTAAAATAAATGTCTATTAATTGTATGAAATGGAAATTTCTTTTCTATTGAATGACTTTACACATACTCTATATACATGTACTGTACTGTACTGTACTGGTTCAAGTTGTCACACTATATCACAAAAGTCAGTTGAAATTATCTAGATCTGCCCCTTTTCCTTTTGTCTTGAGGCTAACGAAAAAAAATATTGCTCCAGGAATTGGAGACAGTCATCAAAAGAATGAATAGCACTCGGGAGCAGCTGGAAAGCCGAGTCCACGACAGAGTTGATTGGAGAATCCTGATCGGTGGATTATGCTCAACGAGGCGTAATACGCGTAACCTGACCTGATTTTCATTGACACTTGATAAAATCATCAGAACCTTACTTCAATTAAATGTGAACTTTTGAAAAAATTATTCCGTAAATCCTAAGTCATTCTAACCTGATTATTCTGTTGCTGATTGAATAATTGTCATTTTCACTTATCTTTCAACTTTTTTTAATTGTCTTGTTCGGTTAATCTCCATTCATATGATTGATTAGTTGACCTTATTCGTTTTCTTTACGATGGTCTTAGATGCGGTTCCCGCTGGCGGGTTGTGGGTGCGCAATAATAAGAAGTTCCATACTGTGACGAAACAGTTATCCAGGTTTTCAGTAATTGTTTAACTTGGATTGGTTCACGACCCTATTAACAAACCATATTTTTGTGTTAAAGACAATTTAGTTATGTTATTGCGGGTGGTTGGAATATGTGTATGACCAACCACCACCTACCCCGGCGAGCGATGTTTTCTTGTGTGTGGGAGTAAGCTGAAACGAAGCTAGTGTGCATCCAAGCCAAAACGCGACCTCAGTCACTGACAGTTTGACTAAGCCATATTTACAGGTGCAGACTACCTAGTTTGGGTCCGGGTGGTTATGCTAACTAGTGGTTTGAAATTTTGAATGATATGGCTCAAAATTGTTTGCAAAGATGCAGGTGCATCCATTCTTCTTCTTTCCCCGAATTCTGAGCCTCTGACGTCCTCAAAACATTCTTTGTGCTTTTATCTGGTTGATTTATATTTGCTTGAATCGTGTCTTCGATGCCTGATCTTTTCAGTCACCACTCATACTGTATATGCATTAATAATGCACCGTTGTTGCTACCTTGACGTGGTGGTCGGGCTTGCCTAACATTATGAAACAACCAAGCTATACTGGCTGGAACAATCGTTCCTCAAGGTCCTACCATGCCAGGTTGAAGGGTGGTAAGACTAAAAGCTTCAAACCCAAGCTCCAAGAGCGAAGTCGTACTGCTGACTGTACAGAGAATTGAAGACAGTAAGGTTTTTCCCTCACACAGCCAGCATGACAGCGATGCTGCCTTCTCACAAGGAGGGGTGGGGTTGGAAAAGTTCGACCTTGAAAATGCACACCTCGTCTTATTCAACGGATGTCCGTCTCCGGCGGTAAGGTCTCAAGAAGTACGGAGCTAACGCAAAAATCACTCGCAGAATGGTCGTGTTTGACCGGCCTCAACCAGTTGTCTTTTGGCCTTGCGGTTCCGCTCTCAGGTCACTAAGACCACCTCTAATCCTATTTCCTTTTCAGGTACCTCCAGAAGAACCCTTCCACGGTGTGGGCAACCGGGAAGTGATAACCGCCCTCATACCTCTAACAGCACTCAAGACCACTGTATTCATAATCAACCTCCTTCAATTCCTATTATTCTTCCTACATCGACCTGCACATACACTTGTAGCAAAAAGTAATCACAACAATAAAGCTAGTGTATGTGACTTCTAATCAATTTCAAAGTCATTTGTAAGGAATGAAATTGGTGTACTTACTACAAATTTGCATAAAGGAAAATAATGCTTATATAAGTTGAGTTAGCAACGTTATTGAATATACTATTCACCTCCTGTCAATAAATATTCATTGATTTTATCCGTCACTTTACAGAGCTTTAAAATAAAGTATATTAATTTTTCCTGTTTCATTTCTTCTATAGAAAATGTTGAATAAATTAACTGGACAATCTGTGGAGATGAAAATTAACTTTATGCAATATAAAAGTTCAGAAGGTGATTCACATAGTGGCGCTTATTTGTTCATCCCTAATGGAGTAGCTGAAGTAAGTGAAATTTCCCCGGGATATATAATAATAATAATGGTAATTTACACATGGCTTTTTTCTGTAGGTCAGGATTTATTGGCCATCTAATTCTTCTGAACTAAATGCTTTTGGACAGTTGAAATAAATTATCCCGTTTGGGTATATGGAATGAGTGGGATAAAGAAAACCATTTATTGCCATTTTTAGTAAGGTTAGATATTGACTGCCAATGTGATACGGGCAAGATACATGTTTCGTTTAATTTGAGACTCATCAGCTGAATGTTCTTGTATCCTAATGTTGATTTTCGCACCGTTCTCAGTTGATAAAGCATTAGAAAACTAAAGTGAACGGTTCTAGGTTCGAGTCCCATCGTGGATATCAGCGCTGAAATACATGTGCATCCATCTGGAAAGTTCCGAATGAGGATAAAAACCTCGTCCTAGATTCCACTGCTAGCCATTGTTCAAATTTACTAGGACACCTGTAAATATCTGGCAACATCGAGGCAGTCAAACTAGAATGCATATATGCCAATGATTACTAGTTGATCGGAATAGTTTAAGATTTATGATGTGTTACAAATTCCTAGTAGCTGGACATTTTATTTGTGTAAACATGGCTCAGTCACACTGATGTTTAAAACATTCAAATTTTCGTTAGCCCTCTTTTGTTTGACCTAGCTAACTATGATGTCATCAGCTTTTCCACATTATCAAAAGTGTAAGTTAAAGCTAACTACATAAATCTGTAATTGGTGAATGAGTTAATTTGTATATTATGTCCGCTGAATATTGATGCCAGTCGGGTTATCTTATAAATATAGAGAGCATTCAAGATTGATTTTGTTTTAGTATTGAAATCACTAAATACATAATACAACACAGCAATCGACACAAGTTTATCATTATCTCAATAATTAATTAACTTTAAAGTTAATCAGCTCAATTAACCAAGAAATAAAAAATTATTTCTTATAATCTTTTCTCTTACTGATGTAAATCAATAGCCTCTATTGGATTCATACTATTAAATATACATTAATATGATCGATATGACCTAGGAAATACGGTTTTCTTCCATTATATAAATACTTTTATGTAAGTAAATAAGTACTCTATGAACTATGGGGAATGATATCTTAATTTATGTAATTAACACTATCACCAAACCACGACGTGCAATGCTAACCGGTGTTGGAGATGGTTGGAAGAAAGTTAGGGGCGGCCAAACCAAAACGTGGCATCAGTGCTTGAAGTCACTAACTTCTAGTCTGAGCCATGTTGGTAGATGCAGACTACTTGGTTGGGGTCCGCGTGACTATCGTAACCAATGGTTGGAGACTGTGTGTGACATGGCTCAGAATCGATCACAATGGCGTCGGTGTATACACTCCCTGTCTTCCCTTAAACTGAGAGATTTAAATCGCTTCATACCTTTCTTTCTACGAACCAATTTTTTCTTCCTGTACTGCATCCTTATATGCAATCTTTCTCTTTTATATTACCACCTCTGAATTAACTACTTTTATGAATCCGGTGTCCATCTTGCTGTGCTAATGAGGTATGGCAACCTGGACCGATGCATATATGTGCCTGGTCCTACGTTGTAGCTGACTGACTGACTATCACCAAAGTTTAACAGTAACTGGATACCATATTGATACAAGATATTAAGTGTGATGAAAATCATTTATATTTGATTTTATTTTAGTGCTAAAAATTCAAATATTTCTAATATTTTATTCGGCAATCTGCTACCAGTTTCTTCTGAGAAATAATCTATGCCAAGGTTATCCATGATAACTAGAGTGTAAAACATGTCTCTATATTAAACACTTGTCTATACACATTGAAAATTCAATTTTGTGTTTACGGTAAGGAAGTGAGTTGTTGCATGTGAGACATAAAAAAAACCCAGTATATGTACGTATATGTATATAATCTGTATGTTACTGTGATTTAAAAATCCACTGAACACATGCAGCCTCTTAACATTTAACAAACTTCATCCTAATCCCTTTGGTGAGTAACGTAACGAAATGGCTATCCAGTGATTTTTCATTTTCTACAGTAGTTTGTAATATAAACGATGTTTTCTTTTAAAATTTTTTTATTTCAACACATAAATATTGAGAAAGGAAGATTAGTTCAGCGAAGAGTTCTCTTTTCGGCGAATTCATTTTCAAAGCTGTACAATCGCATTTATATATACTTATTATCACCCTGTAAAAATAAGTATATATATTTGCGATTGTACAGCTTTGAAAATGAATTCGCCGAAAAGAGAACTCTTCGCTGAACTAATCTTTCTTTCTTATTCAATGTCATAATGGGTGTATTCCGTTTACATAAATATTGGTACAAAGGAGCACCGAATACATATGTGCCACAATGATTTATTAATTATATTGTATATTTATCTTTATTTGTTATTAGCCTTCACCAAATCCAAAATCGTATCGTTACACTAAAGGTAATTTAGTGGATGAAGTGATAGTTTACACGCAGTATGTTACACATAAAGTTCGTTTGTACAAATCATGTAAGTGATTTGTTTGACTGACCTCTGATAGTACTTTCTTTTTTGTTTTTCTCTACCTGTATCGCTGAAGGAATTATATATATATATATATATATATATATATATATATATATATATATATATATATTACAAAGACTATTGAAGTTCCGATTGATGTTTGATACTGTAATTCATTAGTTTCTTTTGACATACATGGATCTTGTCCGGATTGACACGATATAGCCATTGATTTTCAAGTATTTTGAACAGAGTTGGGTGAATGCCATCATATAGTTCTAAATTCACGTTTGATGTAGGCGAATTGTCCGTCTATCGAACACAGGACGAGTATCCCGCTCAAAAGTTTGTTCTGTTCTGCTTTATACTCGTAAAACGTGGTCTTTAAAAATATAGGATATTCGTACTTTACCTTTATTTTATTTTAAATAACCACAAAGCATTACTTGTTTATCTTGGGATCACCAAGTGATCAATGTTAAAGTTAAACGCAGGTTAGCGATTCGTCCAATTGGGGTAGTGACACTTCATCCACTACGGTAGTTGGTACATGCGTTATACATGCTCAACCACCTCTCACTTCGATGCACTATGTTGGCTGAAGCAAAATAGTAACGAACTAGAGGTGGCTAAATCAAGCAGTGGCATTATTTCATGAAATCAGTAACTGTTTTTAATTAAGTTGTTTTATTAGGTGCAGATTAATTGGTTTAGGTGTACGCGATTATCAAAACCAATGGTTAGAAATCTTCCTTTTTGAAAGATAATGTTCGATGTTATGGTTGTTTATTTTTTTTACGTTTCTGGACGTAAAGCCAATCTAACAATGTTACACGGATCCGTCTTCCTGATAGAATATCTGTTAGTTGATTTATAGCTTTAAATGCAGTTACTTGATATTAAGAACTTAGCAATAATGACTCTGACAGCAAATAACGCTTTGTATATGGCATGTTCAAATATCATTATTATCTCCTGGTCTGCTACGTTTGGAGAAATTACGATATCACCTAACACCAACGAACGGAATCAGTCATCAACACTACGACAGGACAAATTAAACTATTGCACTGCGCCCCAGCCCTCCTAACTAGAGGGAAAAGACCAGATTCGGTCGAGAAAAATGTATATTCCGCAAGGAGACAGAAGCACAGACGAACAAGCACACGACTTATCCGTACAAAAATGTCATTGGCAAACGTCGCAAAATAGCGTACTAAAGGAGAAAACGAACCAATGACACTTAAGGTCCTTCCAAGCGGTTGGTACTAACTGAGGGTAAAAGTGGGGGCTTTTGGCACGAAAATAATACATTCGAAGTTTCAAATTAAAATTACAGGAATGAGGCGTTTGTCAAGTAATTTCTGAGAGTCTAGCATTCTCAACATGGTCACACAGACATAGATCCATTCATGTATTTGAATTAGTGATAGACTGTTATACCCTACTATTCAAACTGTGTTCTGCCTCCTCTTCCTCACTGGCTTTTTACCATGGATTTTGATTATTATTATTTTCTGTTGTTTTTTTCTGAACATGCATCAATTATTAATTGGAAACAATAATTATAACAATAATAATATCTCAGCTGGTTTACAATCACAGTTCATTGAGATTGAGAACATTGCCAACATAAAAGTTAGTCGTCCTACTGATATTGACATATTTATGACAATACAAACTAATCTTTTGAATAAAGATCGAGTATTCTATACCGATTCTAACTGCTTCCAGGTAATAATAATAATGGTATTTTTTACAATTTAATGAATTTCGTGATACCTGCTACATTTTTTGTGATTATTAAAATAAATCTTCAGAATACTTTTCAGTCTTACAGTAATCACCCAAGACTCCATTAGATATTGAACTTAGAATCTTCAGATCTCGTGGTGAGCCCTGTAACCTGAAGACAACTGAGTCAGTATCTAATTGCATATTTGTCTAACTTCAACCAATTCGTAGTACTTCTTGACTATCTTTCATTGTCTGCGATAGATAACTGTTTCATACTCGACATGGTTCAATTCCACTGTTCATGATTTCTTTTCGGAAATCCGGGAATTACTTTACAAATTCCTATGGGGACGATAAATTCTAGGATTTAAATCACCATAAACACGTCATTTGGTATACTTGATGTTAACGTATAACTGCTACAAAGTCTCTCCAATTGATGGTTAATTCTCAAGCGAATAGGAGTCAGTAGGAAAACAAAAAGTATATTTTTCCCAACTTCATTGGCATTTTTTCCCCTAATAAAAAAAAAGTATAAAATAGCAACTTCCGTAAAAAAATTTCATAGTTCAAACTTTCATTGGTTGAGGTCGTTTAATTAATCGTTTAACCATCACGTCAAATTACTTCCACTAGTGGGTACATTTCAACATACTTGTTAGTATTCGGTCAACACTAGCGACTGGACAAGCATGACATCGGTCACTATTCAGTGGTTTAGCAGTGTAATCACAACTTATCTTTACGTCATACTGTAATAATCACGAAAATATTGAGTTTAAAGAATAGTAGGAGCTATCAAACTAAGACGTTGAGCTGTACTGAAAAATGCAAACTTGGTTTGCAATTTGTCAAATAATTATAATCTTGGTGGCTGTCAGTGCCATTTGAATAAATTTACCCAGTTGAAGAAAGTCAGAAGACTCCTGACTTCTATCATTTAGTACGTATCAGGTTTTGTAAATCATAAATCTTTTATAAATTCAACATAAAAAACAAACAAATTATCAGTATGTTTCGTATACTCTAAAAATATCATATTTTGTTAAATGAATATCTGACAATTCAGTTCTATTGCCTTTTCAAATCTCTTGTCTTTAGTTTATTCAAAGACAGTATTATGATAAAATTCCTTTGCAAGGGAACGTTTATCCAGTAGCATGCGGCGCTTATATAGAACAAGAAATGAATGACAGTGATGATAGAAGCCATACGAAACAATATCAACGATTAAATTTATTCACTTCACATCCTACTGGTGTAGTCAGTCCTAAAGTTGGTCAAATCAATGTATGGATTGATCGTCGATCTTCACGAGATGATTCACGTGGTGTTCAATCGAATTTGCATGGTGAATGGATTGTAAAATCACAATTACATTTATTTACCGAAATAATTTCAGTTGATAAAACTCAGAAAATAGTGAGTTTATTATTATTATTATCATCATTATTATTGAGATCATGAACCGATCACTGTTAGACTATCACTGAAAATCTGGAAGCACTGAACTACCGTTCCGTCCTAGCATAGGACTCCTCGGCAGTGCTTATTCCCCATTCCACACCCGGGATTCGAACTCAAGACGTTCAATGCTTCCAGATTTTCAATGGTGATCTAACAATCATCGGTTCGTAATTATTTTGAAGATAATTCTACTGACCTCAATGTGAATATGATATGTTCAGTTATTGTTGTAACGGGTGTGTGTGTGTGACTGCAGGTTTTAGATACGCAGCGTATTTATCGATCGCGATCTGTGACAGTGACACGGAAAACACGTACGGACGACCTAGTGCCCTGATTGGCCCTGCTTCGCTGTCCGTCCTAGCCCAGTTGAGTGAAGAACACAAGTCACAGCCTCGGAGTTATGAATCATTGTATTTCAAACATACTCTATTTATATACCAAGCAAACAAACCACATCGTACCATAAAATAGGAAACAACATTTGTACAGTATTTAACAAGTGAAATAAACATCGACCAATAAGAATGTACATTTAAGGTTCAAGGACACCATTGGACTTAACATGATAATTATTGGTCTCTTCTTCTGACTATCCTAACAGTTATAATGACACCTTTGTTCCAACTACCTGATTAAATTATATGGAATTTATTTCCAAAGAATAGTTCACTATGAATCCATAGTTTTCGTCATGCACACCGACAATATCTAGGAGAGGAACTTTTAGAAATTAAGGAACATTGAATATAAATAATAATTAATAAATTTTTGTTATATCCCGATGTGTAGAAAAATTGTATTTCTGACGTTTCGCAACATAATGCCAGGACATTTGTTCAACGTAAATAAATAACCGAGATAAGGTTAACACAAGTTTAAATAGTACGTCTGAAATACAAACTTTCTACTCATTGGAATATAACAAAAATATACTTATCATTAACTTTCTACCTACCTATTTATTTATTTAAACACATAAACATTGGCCACACTCCAAGCCTTCGACCCTAAAGGTCTGGTCCAGAAGGCAATGGAGCAACGTCAGGAGATGCAGTCCCATGATGGCCGGTAACCAACGATTGGTTCATACGCCATTTATTCCCTCAGGATCCTGGAGTCCTTGTGCGCCATTAGTTTGAAATCAGGGTTTTCCATCTCCCCTAAGTGAACTCTTCGTGTCCACTAACCTAGTTAAAGCGTCGGACATTCGCTTTTCGTCCTCTCAATTTCTTAAACAACAAACCCGCCATGAGAAGTCAGTGTGAAGGACTTTCCTGGCAGTGAATTTATACACGTAGCCATGTGAGAGCATTTTGAGAGGAGGAGCTGACTCTTCCCACCTTCGGCTGTATCAGGGCATTACTTTCTATCTAATGCTCAATTTATTTGAAACTATCAAGTTCAACCTTGGTATTGATATCTATTGAACATAATTGTTTCAGTCTAGTTCAGGACTATAGTAAATAGTTGAAATTACATGATCTATGTAGTAAAGAGGATTTATTCGGTTTGAATTGTTATAACACATCCTTTTCTATGAAAAAAAATACTATTGTATAATTGTATCAACATGAAATCATTCTACTATTTTCTTCTTTTTATTTTTTTTTCTCTATATAAAAAGGCTATTCCAAGTTTGTCTATATTTTCCCAACAAATATTAAATGATCTATTAAGACCAATACATAGATTTTATGTAAATCAACCCGATTTAAATAATTTACTTGTAACAGAATATAGTTTAATACCTAAATCTGGTCTACCATGTGATTATGAATTAGTAACAATGAAAACATTTCATAATATAAAGATACCAATAAGTAAGTTATGAAATTTTGTGTTTGTATTTCTGTGGGTGATATATACTGTGTTTATATTGAAAGTGAATTGTAATTTATTTAATAAGTATTGATTAATGTTGGAAGTAGATTAGATAAAATCTTACTTACTTACTTACTTTCTTTCGTCTGTTACTACTCCCAATGGAGCATAGGCCTCCGACCAGCATTCTCCAACCCACTCTGTCACGGGCCTTCCTTTCTAGTTCTATTCAATTTTTGTTCATTTCTCTCATGTCTGTCTCAATTTCTCTGCGTAATGTGTTCTTTGATCTTTCTCTTCTCATTTGGCCTTGAGGATTCCATGTGAGGGCTAATCATGTGACACAGTTGGGTGCTTTCCTCAATGTGTGTCCTATCCACTTCTAGCGCTTCTTCCTGATTTCGTCCTCCGCTGGGACCTGGTTTGACTTCTCCCACAGTACGTTGTTGCTGATAGTGTCTGGCCAACGGATCCGAAGTATTTTGCGTAGACAACTGTTAACAGACACATGTATCTTCTGGATGATAGCTTCCGTAGTCCTCCAAGTTTCCGCCCCATACAGTAGAACTGTGTTGAAAATTCTGACCTTGGTGTTGTTTGACAATTGTTTTGACTTCCAGATGAGATAAAATTTAGAGGTATTATTTGATAAAAATCATTGACTTGGATTCAGTTGTGTTGGTAAGAGTTGACCAACTGGTTAATGTGTTTCTGATTATTGTTACTCCTAATTAATGATTGAATATATTGAGTGGTATGATTTTATATTACTCACACATTATGTTTCGTGAATTCATATTCATAATGTTCTCTCTACTCCTACTGATAATATTACTAATTTCACATTAATATTTGTCTTAATAATTTCATCTTTCTGTGTTGATGATATAATGTAGTAACTTTAACTAATTTCGATAATATCTACGAGGTTCTGTATTGCTTATTACTGAGTATTCGTTCATTCCTTCTACATTTCATCAAACTGATAGAAGTGTTATAGTGTTCTACTGTCGATCATTCAATCGATCTGCTCAGAAAAACACAAGTAGGAACGAATATGATCTCATGAGGGTTACTGGTACTTTTGTTTCTGATAATATCCAAATATAAGTTATAACAGGAATTATTCATTACTTATTCTGTTGAACATTCTACCTTGTGAGTAATTGCTTAGGCTATGTAGGTAGGTAGCTTAAATTTTCCCATATGCACCTACCTAAAACACGTTGTCTCATCAAGTTTCTTGATTGAAAACCAAAATGTAGTTATTGCAACTTAGTTCCGAGCGATTTCCAACTATTCGATTACTTTTAATGAAATCACATAGATTACATTGCGGATTGATTTTGGTTAGATAGTCATTGGAAGCTAGGAAACACAATCATTTTTTCCTAGTATAGGATTACTCAACAGTGCCCATCCATAATCTCACTGCTGCTCGGTCTCATGTGCGAACACTTAGCCTGTAGACCACTGAACTGGTATCCAATGTTGTACAAGACTAACGTCAATCACTTCTCGATTATATATTTAAACAAAGGGATACTAAAATGAATCATTAAATGTGTGCCTAAGCTGTGTTAATGCCCGAGTGCACGAATCGAAGCAGGTGATTTTTATGTGGACTCACTCCCGTATCCTTTGGCTCGGAGGTCCAATCCACAGGTCAGTAGAGCAGCGTTAGGAGATGCGGTCTCATGGCAGCCATGAACCAACTATAGGTTCATACGCGATTTATTCTTTCAGAATCCTGGAGTTCACACGGATTATTGGTTTGAAACCAAAGTTCTCCAACTCCTTTATGTAGATTCTCCGAGCGGATCAACCTGGTTTAAGCTTTCCGTCCTCTTCATCTCGTAAACAGCACCTCTGACGTTAGAAGGCGATGAATGGAACTTGCCTAGCAGTGGTTATATATACATGGCCATATGAGGGCGTTTGGAGATGAAGAACAAACTCTTCGCACCCTCGGCCGTACTAGGTCATTCGAGGTGATATTACATGACTGTCTTTGGTTGCCTGCAGTGAATAACTGTTTCTCATTTAAAATGAACTGTAATTTTCATTTGCATTTATTTATCTCCGTTCTATTCTATCTTTTTTACTAGAGTTTCATGCTGCACCGAATACTCAAGTTGGTGTGATTTTACGACGTCATGCACCAGTTTGTTATGCTAGAAATTTACCGAAAATTGATTTTTACTCAGAATGTTTCAATAATAATGTTGGACAAAATGAAGTGAGTTAATTGAAGTGAAAATATTCTCTGATAGCATCAAATGATTGTTATCATCTCTTTGTTTGTTACTTGTCCATCATAATGGAAGTTTCCATTAATTATTCAGTTTGTTGATATTCACATTAAATACTTAAACCACAATATAGTCCATTTATCTTTGAGTTGTTTAGAAAATCTAAAAGATTATTTATTTGGATGGACTGTGAAGATATTTTTTCTTCTGAACTAAACTGTTAGATAGGATGTCATTGAAAACCAGTAAACACCGAGTGGATGTTTTGTCCTAGATTGTAATCCCTTAGTTAGTGCGTACCTACAATTCCAAGAAGACCGTCATGTTTGTCAGTGAGTGTGTTGCACTCAAACCATAGAGTCAGATTAGATGCCACGTAACTATAATCTTAACTTCTACAACGGTCAGTCAACCATTCACTACTCTTTATTAGTAATTTCAACTTACTACAACCGTCTATTCTGCTCACATATGTGTTGGATTTCAAACTGATAATTGTTCAGGTTTCTTAAGCTCTTCTAATAAACCCAGGCTAAATCTACATGACAACTTGAATACAAGAAGAAATATGAGAGATGTGAAAAGAACGCTTTATGGTTTATGTACAGAAAATTGACAGTATTTATGGCATTTCAAATGGACGTGGGTTTCTGGAAGGTTCTGAAACCCTACTAAACATAGTAGCAGGATAGGTAATCATCCAATCAGAAATGTGATACGTGACTCTTCACATTCTAGATGTTTCTGAGAAACTCATTTAATGCTGATTGAGTAAAATATTCTTCCTGCGTTTTCGGTTTCCTCTGGTCTTTCTTTTTCGAGAGATACTCTGGATCTTTCCAACAGTTATCCTTTTTTATCAAGACCAAAAAAACGTTAAATGTGTGATATACTGATGGTCTTGAGTTTCTCAATCAGAATTAAAATGTCTCATGTATTTTGTGCGAAGTTTAAACTGAAGTTATAAATACCGTGTATGTTATTATTAATCAAGTGAAAATTGGCAATGTTTGGTTTGAGCTTAATGAAAACAGCTGTTATGCAACCAAAAATTGAATTTTACGTTGTTCTTAAGCTAAATTGTATAACATACCTGCTCCTGAGGCAGGTCATGTGTTAAAATGTTTAATTTGGTTCACTACGTAATGTTTAATGAAGCTAGATGTTTTTCTTTCCTTTTTACTCTCACTCTAAATCTTAACCGTAAATTTCTCAATTTTATAAACACGAAGGTTGCGAGGCATCGAGTTAAAGCAGATGTTAGTTTGTATTGAGAACCTTTACTTAATTTGTAGACCTAATTGAAAACTCTAGCTTAATTTCTTATACCTGATCCTAAACTTTTACATTATAATTAATGCCGGTGGATGGCGAAAACCCAATTAGGTGATAACCATAACTCACAGCATTAGATAAGAACAGACGCCGGTAAAACTCTGCCACCATAGAAGCCATTCAGAATATATCCGTACCAGAAGATGTTCTTTGATTAAGATCCCTGTTATTTATTTATTTGAACGCATAAATATTGGTACAGGGGGGCACCTGATATATATGCGCCACACAATAACAATGAGAATGAGAAGAGAAGATACAACCACTTTCTATAAGGAAAGTAAAAGAAGGTTACAGCAGGATTGCCACTGGCTTCTATTCTGAGCCATATCTGATAACGTCTATAGCCACTGTGTTACACCATCTCTCGGAACCCAACCAGGGAGTCGAGAAGAACCAACAGAAGCCAGCCCTTTCCAGCTTTCTTTCATACCACGACACCATGTCATGCACTGACCAGCTCTCCGCTTTTTCCAATGAGTCTCAGTGTCGGCAAATAATGCACGACATGGAATCCTCTAGGACGACATTCGTAGAACATATCTAAGTCACCGAAGTTGATGTTTCAAGATGGTGAGATCAACTGGATTATCGTCTCTGTGCCCGAACACACGATGCCGAACCTCTGCATTACTAACATGGTGTTGCATTTCTTGATTAGTTGATAATTCACCCAAAATTGTTAATATATTATACTTTTACCCAACAAACTTCAATAAACTCATCTTTGTTTTTTTTATTTTTAAATTACAGCTTAATATACATGAATTATTTGGTTCAATTCAATTAAAATATGCAATACAAACTAATCTGACTATGATTCCATCATTGGTCTCTTCTATGATTGATGATAATAATAGATATCAATCAAGTAAAATGAATCGCATTCATGTGAAGTCAATGGAAATTGAAGCATACTATCTTGTTTAATTCATTATTCTTATATGTATTCTTGTTAACATTTTTAAACTTGCTTCTTTTTTTAAAAAAAAATCCATAGTTGTGTTGATTTTGTTTTTCTTGTTTTGTGGAAAATATTCTTTCTTGATTTTTGTTTGTTTGTTTGTTTTAAAACTGTCCCATGGTACGTGCTAATCTTCCGCCAACTATCTCTCCTCTCCTGTGAATGTCAACACCATATGTTTGTGTATAATAATAGTAATAATCATAATGGTAATAATGATGTTGATAAGATTGTACAAAATCACTCATTTATGTTTGACTTTTGTAATATGATGACGGGATTTTGTCTTTCCTATATATATGCATTGTTATTACATCAGTCTTTCCTCTAATGCTCATGCTTAAAATATGTATGTGATGTATGATAATTAGGAATACTTTTACATTTGTGTTTGTTTTTTTTATTTATTTTCTCGCTCAATGTATTACTGAATTGTTGATCACTTTATAATGATACTTATCTTTTATGATTGTTTTATTCGGAAAAAAATTTCTACTTTATTGTGTTATTCCTATTGAATTGAAGGTGAAACAGAAAAAAAATTCTCAGTTTAGGGGTTGTAGAGATTGTTGAGTTTTTGATTGAAATCATGAACTGATTGATGTTAGATCAACATTGAAAACGTGGGAGCACTGGATGGCTGTTTCGTCCTATTGTGGAACTCTTCAGCAGTGCGCATCCACGATCCCAGGACCCTCAGTCTTGCGCGAGAACACCTAACCTATTGGACTACTGAGCTGGCCGGCATTCAATGGTGTTAATGTCTAACCTCAACCAATCTAGAAATTTGTAAATCATTTCGGTTTGAGTTGATAAAAAGATAAGTAATAAACAATTCGGTTTGATACTTTAGGTTTTTTACTAGTTGATAGTTGTTAGTACTTCAAATTTTAAAGGAACTGATAATCTTTATGAGATTCAAATTATCCAATCACGCTAAGCTTCATAGTTTATATTGTCCTTTACTTGTTAGATCTACGACAAATCTGTACGATTAAGATATTTACAACTGATAGATCACTGAGTAACGATCGTTATCATACTTTTCTAATCATATTGGTACTATTCAAATTCTGTTGACCATGTTGTCAATATGACTCACTGGTTTAAGTGACTTAACGAGAGAATTGTAATACACTGTCAAGTATTGATCATTCACTTAGTTAAAAATCATGACTGCCAAAACGTCTGTCTGGGTCAATCTATGATAGCTAAACTTGACAATGGGGAATATCATTACTGACTATTAGCTGGTTTAATTGAGTAGTCTAGTGTTTAGACGAAGTGTAGAATCTATGATTCAATGAAAGAAACTTAGACTACTGGTTTATACAACTGCATGAACCAATATTTATTATTTTACTGGTGTTTTACCGATCGTAAAACTTGCTGTTGAGGGTAGGAGAAATTATGAACATAACACGCAGTAAAATCGGGTTCATTAGATGTGGGTTGAATTGTTTCACACTTTAACCATGTAGGAATTATTATTCGTAAGTTTTCAGAAGTTCATTTGAAGTAAAGTCTCGCGCGCAAGACTTACAGGTCTTGGGTTCGAGTCCCGCGAGGGGAGATCGTGGATGCGCACTTTTAAACTTTATTCAATAGATAGTATTCGCTACTGATGTTTTATTACAATAACTGCATATAATATTGTTTTTCGTTTGATTTTTAATGAATAATAATCCATTCAGTTTTGAATATTTCTAATTACGGAGGCAACCTGCTAAAATGCTTAATCTATTTTCCAACTGTGCAAATATAAACTTAATTAACCTTTCTATTTTTAGATTTAATTGAACTGAATAATTATGTGTGTACTTATCCTCTAGTGAACGAAGACTTGGTGAGGATAATCGACTTGTTGTTTAATGCACACTCACACAGGGGTTTAGTAAAATGTTAAAATCACACATCCAATGCATCGTTTGAACATCTTTCAGTTTTCTTTTACATCCTTCATGATTCTTTCAATTCTTTTTTTATTTCAATTGCTTTCTTCTTTTCAGTTCAATCTTTTGACAAACACTTCTGATTAGTTTCACATACTACTTACATTTGTCAACATAAGTAGCATACACTGCGAACGGGTATTATAAAAGGCTTACTGCTGATAATCATTTTTGGGAAACTTTGAATAAAGGATCAAAGTTGTTGGTATATTTTTCTCCTCTATGTCTGTGATAATAAACTGATTAAATAGTCATAGCTGGTAGATTCGCTTGAAAATTTTTAATCATTAATTACAGAGTCTAGGTAGATAGTGACTAGTGAAAAGATCTATACAATATATTATACTGAATAGTTACGATTTAAATCGATGTGTTGAATAGAAATTTGTTACGATGTTGCTTAATTGTTGATAATTCCTTATTGCAACAACATACATAATACTATCATGATTTGTGTATAACTGAAGATCATCAAAGTTTGAGGATTGTGTACATAAAAAGATTATGATTTGTTAATGAGTCTTGACATAGTTGTCAGTAACCGTTAACTCTTATTTAGAAATTTGTAACATCAAGCATGCTATCATATGTTCTTATCAGTATTATCGGGAGATTTTTTTGTAGTTTTATATGGTCTTTTCAATTCTTAATCATTATTAATGATGAACTTTACGTCACATAAACTTCTGAAAACTTACGAATAATAATTCCTACATGGTTAAAGTGTGAAACAATTCAACCCACATCTAATGAACCTGATTATATTGTGTGTTATTTTCATAATTTCTCCTACCCTCAACAGCACGTTTTACGATCGGTAAAACACCAGTAAAATAATAAATATTGGTTCATGCAGTTGTATAAACCAGTAGTCTAAGTTTCTTTCATTGAATCATAGATTCTACACTTCGTCTAAACACTAGACTACTCAATTAAACTAGCTAATAGTCAGTAATGATATTCCCCATTGTCAAGTTTGGCTTTCATAGACTGACCGAGACAGATGTTTTGGCAGTCATGATTTCTAACTGAGTGAATCATCTATGCTTGGTTACACTAACAATTGATTTATCGCAAATTTCATTGGAGCGTAAATTCACAGGGCAGTGATATTTCTTTTCAATCAGTCCGTCATTGTTGTTTTACGCTAATACACATATGTTTAACAATAGTAATAAGATATTTATTAATGATTGGATATATCGAGATTCTTAATAAACATTTTACTAATTCTATTGTGATCATTTCCTAAGTTGTATATTTAATTTATTCGCTTATTAAGTAGTATCTTCCAATACTGATCATTTCATTCACTTATATACATGGCATAGAGCCATTGAAGAGAAATATTGTGTGACTCGTCTGGATTCGTTCGGTATGTCAGAAGTTTACGTTTTTTGTTTTATTCGCTAAAATAAAAACATTCACTCCGGTAATCAGCACTTGGTATATTTATTTAAATCTCAGCTATATCTGTGTTCTTTAATTGGACATTGAAGGAATCTGAAATCAGACCGTAAGAAAATATCTGCCCGACTAGATGAAAATCTCACATCTGTTCACATAATCTTATCTAGTCAAAAAACAATATCTTAAAGGTTTCATGCACGCGCTGTGTACATCGCTTTTCTTAGGTAATTACTATTTGTGTGAACTAAATACACAAAACTATGGTTTCGACAAGGTACTGACAACAGACAAATTGATCTCTTCGTAATCATATGAAATCCTACGTTAAAATAAACCACTACTGATATGAAATTCCAGCATATTTGAACAACTATTTAATAAATAACGTCAAGGATTATTAGTAGGCCTGTATAATAAATGTTTACACAAGTTTGGTCTTTATTTCGACGCATAATCCCAATAAATCAATATTTTAACTGACAGCTTATAGCTTTGAGTAACAGACACGTGATGTTAAACAATACACAGGACTTTATCGATAAATGATTTATGCAGTTTTCGTCAGCTATTAACAACTGAGAATCTAGACCGCATCATTCTAGTCTGAGATATCAGTATCATGGCACATGAATACAGGTCACACTAATTGATTAAAACTCGTCAGAAGATACATATTTGTAACATTAAGGAGGGGTGTGTTGCTCCCTGAAGGATTCAAACTTACAAGAACCAGTGTGAGACGATACTACTCAACTATTCAAGTGATAAATGATCTATTGTACAATTGGGATAATTAAATTGACTGATCACTGAGTGGTAAATATTGTCGGGCTTTACTAGTCGTCTAGAGTATAATTTCTCTTAATACTACTTAGGCTACTAAACATATTGTAGTTTAATTAAAAGAATACAATCAACACTAGACATTCATCTACCAGTAGTCAGAGTTTAATCATTTGAAAGGCATCATCATTTAAATCCATTCATTATTTATACAGAAAGCAAAAAAACACTTTCAAGTACGTATGATATAGTCACCAACACTAGTATACTTTCAATGTTAAATATATTCCCAAATAGTAAAACAGTAAATTTGATAAACACTCAATAATAAATTTATGTCTATATTTGAAATGAATAAAAAGAATTGAACATTACTAATATAATACAAAGAAAATTATTATTCATTAGTTCAGTTACTAATAGTAACCACCAATTACATGAATATATACGCGCATATATCAAAAAGACAAGCAACAAAAAGATAAGTCAGCTAAAAAAATTACCACCGCATATTACTAACATTCAATTGATGAAATTAAATTCACAATAAAACAATAAAACAAACATTGAATGATATGGAATTATAGTTTTAATGAATTAAAAAACAAACAAAATAATAAAGGCGGGAATTTAATTTCAATGATGAATAGAACTATTTTATTAAAAGCAGATAAACAAAGAGAGAAATTTAACTGTTTAAACAATTATTGAATTAGATAACATTATTTTAAAAAAACAAAACTCTTTTTTAGAGAGGAAAAGAAATATAATAAACATTCATTATATCATCAATAGAGACAGTAATAGAAAGACAGAAACTTTGTTAGATTTATTGTATTGTTTATAGTCAATAGTTAGTTACCAAGTATGTTTGTTTGTTTGTTTGTTGTTGTTGTTGTTGCTGAATATGTATATCTCTTTAAATTGTACCGTCATCGTTAGAGATATCATACGAGCTTAATGATAAAATCATAATAACACTAATGAAACGAATGATTTAAGAATAACACAACAAACCAAAGTGAATAATAAATGATGAATGAATAAACAAACAAGACAAAAGTATCCTTTCTCCCTGACACTATTCACTTTGACATTTTTCAACATATACTATATATATATAGGAAGATATTTAACCATAAAGTTAGATTGTAACAGTGTTTATTATAGACAAAACAATATGATGAGAAGCGATTGAAAAGGCAACAGTTTGATGTGTTTTTACGGTTTAATGATTTCATTTTAACCATTAAGATAGAGAATACTGATGAACGACCTATGCTTCTTCTTCACGAAGAGTAACAGGTGTCATTCATTAAGATTTCTATTATATATTAATGTTATTCAGTCAGCAGTTTGATTT